TCATCATCATGAACTTTGTTGCAAAAGCAGAATCGCCTGTGCTTACCACACATCTTGCAAATTACCGATTCATCTCTGGATCTTGTCCCATTCATTCTGTGGGTTATACAGGCCACCTCCGCAGAGGCGCTCCCTTGGATGCAAGGAGGGGAGAGGACAGCTTGTTAAGTGAGGGGAAGCACCTTGGGGTGTGAGGCTGTTGACTCTCCTAGTGAGCGGAAAGGTTTTTTGGATGGATTCACTGTGTAGCCCATGTGGCCAGAACTCGTATCCTTTCCTGTCTTCAGCCTCCTGAAGGCTGGTATTACAGATGTGTGCACCCACATTGGTGACCTGTGCTTTCTTATGCCATAGGCAGCTCCTTGCTGTGGACCCATTCCCTTGGGGTCAGGGGCTAATTTCAGTTCCAAGGCTCGACCCAGCTTGCTCCCAAACCAAGGATCACACCTGGGGGGCATGCCCTGTGTGGCTCCTGTTGCCCCAACGTGGCATGGGACTGCCTTCAGTACTGAAGGTTTTACATTCTTCTTTGCCTGGGTTCTCCTTTCCTCCGTTTTGACTGTCCACCCTTTTTGAGAAGCCTTCTGCTGCCAGGCTCAGCGCTCTCACCCCGATGTGCGCTGAACCTTACCACTGCCACGCAACATCCATCCTGCACCCACTCTGTCCTGTTCATTGCTGGGTCTCAGGTCCAGCAGACAAATGCAGTCCGTAATAGAAGGAAGACACCAGCAATGCACTTCACCTTGGTTCCGATCTTTGACCTTGTGGGATTATTCCTCCCAACCCCACAAAAGGCTTGGGGGCATAGCATTTGGGGAGCAAGGCACATGTAGTCAAAAAAGCAGCAGTAATATCTTGGTGCAGGGCTCACATCTGTATCCTAGCACTCAGAGCAATTCAGAGGGCATGGTTCAAGGCCAGCTGTGGTAATGGTTTTCCAAGGACCCCCCATCTCCCGAATACCAGAGAAAAATGACTGGAGTGTGGCTTAAGTGGTAGAGCACCTGGATAGCAAGGTGACACCCTGCCAAAGGTGCCAGTGCTCAAGCGTGTATTTAGCTACTCAGGAGGCAGAGATCAGGAGCACTGGCTCGAGCGGCCGGGTAAAATAGTCTGAGCTCTATCTTGAAAATACCCTCATAAAAAAGGCTGGCGGAGGGCTCAGGATGAATCCCTGAGTTCAAGCCCAGCCCCAAAAAAAAAAGCTGGTGGTCCCAACTGTTTGTCTCCTGCTCGCCTCCTGTAGCTAGGGTCACAGGCGTGGCCACTGTACCTGCCAAGATTGTGAACTTCTTCTTGCTGAGACTCCTCAATGTTCCAAAATGTCAACCACTCTAAGTTGTGGGGGGTATGGTGAGGTCATTAAATCCTGAGATCTTGCGTAAGCCTTCCTCACTATCACCCCTTTCAGCAGACAAGAAGCACAGCTAGAAGGGCTTGGGCAGGCAAGGTGCCCAGGTCTCCTTGCCAGGCTGCACATCCATCCAGGAGCTGTCTTTTCCAGAACTAGACGACATTGTGGGAGAGGCAATTGGTCAGCAGGGACCCTTTCAGCTGGTCAATGATGATGCTTGGGACTTTGTGGCTTATATTACAGAAGATGTCTCCCTGGGGACAGTATCATCGGACGACACTGTCCAGGATAGTGGCATTCTAGGTAAGGGATATAGCACAGGAAGAGCCCGTTGCATGGAACAGGTGCAGTGGATAACATCCGGGCTCGGTAGCAATCCTGCCATACTCCAGTTTACCTCTTTCAGTTCAGCAGCCTTCACGCATCTGAGGCCTTGCCCCCCTCCTCCGTGCAGTGCCACACTGTGTAGACAGCTCTCCTTCCGTGGCCAACTCATGGATTCAGGTGGGACTGAACCCACTCCTTCTTTCCTGCCCAGATGGCTATTGATCAACCCGCCCGAGGGGTAACGCCTCTTGCTGCTGCTCCTCAGAGAGGTTGGCAGCTGAACCTTGTGGATTTCCTACCCGGAAGGGAGAAGCAGGTAGGTGTTCAGGACCCAGAGCATCCCTGGGACATCTTGCTTCTAGGACCACAGGACAAGGAGGACATTCTGGAATTGGCCTGTGCCACCACAAGGGCTGACGTAAAGTTGCACTTGGAGAGATATTTATAGCCCAGAGTGCATCCCTCCTTGAAGGACACCTGGGGGAGGGGAAGCTGGTGAAGGGCCAGCAGTTTGATATAATGCCAGTGCTGGCTGAAGTCAGGGCCTCTTCGAGCAGTGGTGATGCCAGAGCCTCTTCAAGCTATGTAAAGTACTGACACTCTTTCTAGGAGTTTACCTGAGAAGAGCCTCTGTCTGGGTAGGTGCTGCTCAGTTGGTGAGACAGTTGGTGGGTCCGACAGCAAGGTCCCATCCTTCTCGGGAGGGGGGGATACAATTCAAGTCAGACAAAAATGGGCAGTCGAGGCCTGTCATAATATACCTCTTCCCTTCTGTTCACAGCTTCAGGGCAGGCGTGCGTGTAGGAGGACAGATAGGCTATGTAGCACCATGCCCAGGCAGTATCACCACAGCAAAACAGGGACCCTCTCATGCGACGTGTGGATTATGTACCAGCAGGCCACATGGCTACCCGGCTTTGCCCTGGCTCGCATGGATGGGCCTTAACCAAGCGCCTAAGATATGCCAAACACACAGACACTGGGCAACCTGGGGACTCACCTGGACAAAGTACATGAGTCCATCAGAGTCGCATCTTGGTTTGCAAATGATCAGGGGGGAGCTGGCCACAGTCACCGCGACCAGCAGGTCTGTGTCTGGGCTGTAACACCTTGCATTCACCATGTCTCCTGCGGCCAGCGAGCCGTGGCATACAGCCGGCCGCGGCAGGCAGTGGTGGAGCAATTGTCCGGGTATCATATGCTGGCGGCCTTCCCAGGAGCGGTGTTTGTCCATAGCGTTTGTGCGTCAGCAGCACCACATAGAGCAGTCCAATCCAGGGCACAGAGGACTGTGGTGACTCTCGGGCCTTTCAGCAGGGTGCCACCTCTGTCCACTAGTTCACTGAGTTGACCTCCAACACATAGTCATAGAGCCGGAGCCTATAACCCGCCTGCCAGGACCAATGGGGCGATGACAGCACTTGGGGTGAGTCACCTACCGGTGCCTCATGCACTCGTGAGGGCTCTCCCTGTAAAGGAATTGAACCTCACGGGGCCCAAACAACACTCCTCTCTTCCCAAGCCAGGCAGAAGTTCCACACCAGTGGGTGAAGGCACGCACATACCAGGCCCCTCCCTTCAGAACCACATCAACCAGGCACTGTGAAACCCGGGCCTTGGGTTGCCAGTTCTAATTAACCACACGCCCTGTCAGGCGCGCACATAAACTACTTCAAACACTGGGTCACACAAAGGCGTCAGCCCGAGTCAGCTCCAGGCATCACAGGCACTGGTCTTGGCACATCTAGGCACCCGCTTATTGACAGTGTTACCAACGTGGTGCAGGACGACGGGTGACAGGAGTCGCCCTGTCGCAAGAACCTAAAGCACGAGGAAGTCAAGGCACTCAGCATCCCTGGGGAGTAGCTTGACTGTGATATGTTGACATAGGTGGTTCTTCATTTAAACAATAAAAAGAAAAAAAATTTTTTTTTTTTTTGTGGTTTGGGTTTGAATCAGCGCCTTGTGCAAGTGAGCCACGTACCACACGAGCCACGTCCTGGACCGGTTCCTTTATTTAAGAATCCTTTTGTTTTTCAGATAGAATCTTGCATTGTTTGGCCAGACCCAACATTGGTCTTCACCTATGGCCTTCCCATGAGCATTAGGTAATGTGTGCATTCCTGCTTTTTTTTTTGGGGGGGTGGGACTGGGTTTGAACTCAGGCTTCACATTTGCAAAGCAGGTGCTTTACTGCTGAGTCACACCTCCAGTCCATTTTGCTTTGGTTAGTTTGGAGATGGGGTCTTTTGCCTGGCTGCTTTGAACCACGATCCTTCTGATCTCAGCCTCCCATACTAGGTTATAGGAGTGAGCACCAGCTTGATTTTTCCCCCCTTTATCAGATATAGTTGTACTGGGGTCCATTATGACATTTACAAAAGTTTTTTTCTTTATAAAAGTTCTTAGTATATCTAGTTGAATTTAGCCTCTCCAGCTTTTTGGAGAGGGTCTCAGTAACTTTTTGCCCTGGCTGGCCTCCAACAGGACTCTCTCATTTCCACTTCCAAGTAGCTAGGATTACAGGTGCCACACCATCACCTGTCTACATTTTTTGTCAATGTGTCAATGAAAGCTAAAAAAAAAAAAAAAAAAAAAAGGGTTGGGCATGCTCAAGTGGTAGTGTCTGCCTAGCAAGCGCAAAGCCCTGAGTTCAAACCCCAGTACCACCAAACAAACACAAACAAACCCCCAAACACCCAGTGCCACCAAAAAAGAAGAGCTGATTATCATAAATTAAACCAGGTCTACTAAGGGACTCCAGGAATCCTGAGGGCTGCACCCCCTGACTGTCTTACTACCCTGAGCTTTGGGAGGGAGGAGGCAAAAGTCTTGAAGAGCTGTGGTAAAGGCAGCTGAAGTGGGCTTCCTTGACCCCAGGAAATTCCCTAGCAGCAGCTGAATGGAAAGACCCAGCCACCTGCCTAAACCTAAAAGATAGCTGCTCAGCTGTGACATTTATGAAAGGGTGTTCAGAAGCCCAGGCAAGTATGGCCAGTTTGGGAGGGAGTTCTCTGCTGGAAGCCCCCACCAGATTTCAGAGGGGTTGATGGGTAGGGTGGCAGGGCAGGGGGACAGTCTCCCAACAACCTAACGCAGGACCAACCTCAGATTGGAAAGAGGATGGATTCCAGCAGAGGATTGAAGGCGGGGCTGCAGGCCAAAGTTTCAACAGTCAAGAGTGGAGGATGTCCCTGAGGTGGGTTCCTCCCCCTTATCAACTCAGAGCCCCACCAGCACCAGAGAGCACAGCTCAGAGTGGGCTTTCAGCTGAACGTGCCAGGGGCACAGCGACAGGGATGACCCTGCTCCTCGATGGCCTGATAGCGAGCCAGAGGCCCGACCAAGTTGGTTCTTTCCTTATATAGCAGTCACAGAGACCGCCCCTGCTCACGCGATGGAAGGAGGTGGGGTGGCTTGCCTGTTTGAACCAGGATTCATCCTTGGTGAAAAATGTGGGAGAAGCCCAGCACTGGGGCAGTCTGGGGCCCGCCTACCATGACTCGGCAGTGTTTTGGGGTTTGGGCCAAGTAACTGGAAGAAAACCTCTTAACATGTGACCGTGTTTACAGTCGCGGAGGAGCTCAGCCTAAACACCCATGTGACCCACAGCGCAGGGACTAGGTGCAAGCCCCAAAAAACCTTGTCGCTGGTGACAAAGCCTGTGAGTCAGGAGGTCCTTGCGGCTAGGCAGGGACAGGGAATGTACCAGCTGGGGGAGAAGGATGGCTCAGCAGGCGTCAGCCTCCAGCCTGTCCCCGCATTCCTTGGGGAGTAAAAAGCACTCATTGTGCGGGATGAATGCCCGTCTCTACCAACCAAAAACGGGGAGGAACCTCCCGGGCCGGGAGGTGGCTCAGCCAGGCAGGCCATACCACACAGGGAAGAGACCCACAAGCTGCTACTTGTCCCTGCTCACACAAGGGGCTCTTCTTCCAGGTTCAAAGTAACCGGAGCAACAAACATAGTTGCCTTGGCTCGGACTCAGCTCGGCCCTCGGATCCAAGTTCAGTGGGTTTCTCCCAGAAAGGTGGTTGGCTCCCTCAAAGATGGGGGTGGGGGGCGAACCCAGGGCCAGCCTGAGCGCCTTCCAACGCACTCACCCGTCACGTAGATGTCATTGCCCAGCGCCACGATGCTGTAGCCCCCTCCCAGGTGGTCAGGGAACTCGGCCAGGTAGCGCCACTGGCCCGTCTGCGGGTTGTAGCAGTCGACGGTGACCAGCTCGTCGCAGTCCTGATCACAGCCGCCCACGAGCACGAGGATCTCGGCGAGGCCGGTGGAGGGGCGCGGGCGCATGCGGGGGCAGGGCCCGCGGTCGTGGCGGTCGTAGCGCGCTGCCTGGAAGTCGCGCGCCTCGCGCAGCAGGCGCAGGCAGGGCGGGCAGCGCGCCACCAGCGGCTCGGCCTCGACGTGGGCCAGCAGGTAGAAGCGGCGCACGAAGGGCAGGCGCACGGCCTCCAGCAGCTGCGGCCAGTGCGCGGCGCGGCGCGGCGGGTCTGCGCGCACCCAGCGCAGCGCCAGCTGGTAGGCGGCCTCCTCCTTGGGCACGCACAGCCCGTCGTCGCGCAGGTAGCGCAGCAGGCGCGCCAGTGGCAGCCGCTCCAGCTGATCGGCGCCCAGCTCGCCCACGTGGCGCAGGATGAAGCGCTGCGCCGCGCTCGCCAGCCCTGCGCAGCTAAAGGCCTCGGCGAAGTCCTGCATGTCCAGGCAGTTGGCCAGGTCCAGCTGCTGCTGCAAGAAGGCGCCGCACGCCTCCTTCACGGCCGGAAACTGCAGCAGGTCAGCGGCTCGCAGCAGAGGCTCGGCGTTGTCGCCGCTCACCGCCACACGGCCCGTGTAGCTGAAGTCCAGCAACAGCTGCAGCATGTCAGGCGGCACGCCATGCAGGCGCACCCGCTCGGCTCGGCTCTCGCGCAGCTGCCCAGCGAACATGGCGCGGAAATAGGGGCTGGCGGCTGCCAGCACGGCGCGGTGCGCCGGGAAGTCGCGCCCGCCCGCCGCCTCCAGGGTCACGTCCAGGAACTTGCGCTCTGCGCGGAGCTGGCTCAGGCCACGCAGCAGGCTCAGGGCGTGCGCAGGGTCCGAAAAAGGAAGCACAGCCAGGGGCGCCGGCCGCTCCATGGCGCTTCGCTTAGAGACTTCGGGACGCCGCGGCCGGGGCCTGCGGAGAGACGCTGCCTATCCGGCACCAGTGCTATAAATACAGCCAGGCCCCGCGGCCTCCCGGGGGCGGGCTCTGGGTGGGCGGGGCGTCTCTGGACACGCCCACTTAACCCTTTCGGCCCGGGCCTGCAGCCCGCCCTCCTCCCGCCGAAGCGCGAACTGGCCGCCCCCGCCCCCGCCCCGCCCCCGCCCGCCCACCTCGACGCCCGCCCCCGACCCTCCGGGCTGAGTCACCACCTCCCTCGCCCGGTCCCTTTCCGCCTTTCCGGGACTTCCTGCCGCCTGCCGCGGATGCCAAGCCGAGGACGGCTAGTGACAAGTGCGGCGGCCCTTTGCGTGGGGATCAGGATCTCCCGGGCCTGTACGTGATCCACATCGCCCAACTACGGAGCAAAATCGGGGGAGGCGAGTTCGGCCCCCCGAATCCGAGGCTACCCTTACGCCCGGGTTCCTTACTGCGCGGCCTGCTGAGTGCAGTGGCTTTCTCTCTCTCTCTCTCTCTCTCTTTTTTGGTTCTACTGTTTCCAGGGTTGCTGGTTAATCCATCAAGGGACAGATTTCAAACGTCTGGATTTGTACTGTTCAGGGCCAAAGCATGAACAAGGCTAAGGGTTTTCGTTGACGTTTTTCCTGGCGCGTTTGTGAGTGACGCGGGGCCAGATTCCAGGAATGCGCTCCACTGTGTTCCTGCCTGAGTTTCAAACTCAGCAGTTAATAACTGGTCAGCTTCGAGGCGTAGTTTTACTTTCCCAGTCTGACTCCTTCAGGCTTCAGAGCCTCCGTTCCAATGGGCAGACCTGCTGTGGGGCCCTCAGGCCTCCTGCCCATGAGGGTGGCCCAAGAGTCCAGAGGGAACTCAAGGTCAGACGAGGGAGTGCCTTAAAAACCAGGAGATAGGGCCGTTCTGCCAAGTCAGTCACTTGAGCAGTGATGGTGTATAAGGAACCTCCCTTATTTCAGTTCCTGTAGTTAGGGTGCCACTTTGAACACAGCTATAGTGAAAAAAGACCCCTCACTTGGAAGGCATTTTTCTTTAGTTTAAGGTCCTCTTTGCTCAGTTTCAGGGACGACCCCTATTTCACCCAGTACTACCATTTTTCCATTTTGTAGAGGAAGCTTGGGATTCTGCTGTCTGCCCGCTCCCCGCCTGCCACCCCCTCCCTGACCTTCAGGAACGCATTCCTGCTGAAGGTGCCCGCCCACTGCACCACGGAGTGGGGTAGGGTTCCTGGGGAGGACTAGACACCAGAAGTGGGTTGTCATCCCCGAGTTCCAATTTAGGTCTGTACAGCCATGGGGAGGAGACATTTTGTTTTTATTCCATATCTGAACTGAGACCTACCTGTAAACATTCTCTTCTACTCACTCGGGACCCTCATCGCGTCTAAATTTCAGGGTCAGCACGGGAGCACAGGCCTGAAGTAGGAAAACATGCAGGTACCCAGGCGGGTGCTTGTTGCCCATAGAAGGACTGTTCACACAGCTCTTAAGAGAAGCGCAGCACAGCATTCCTGGGCCCAGGAGCCTGGCCAATAGCTAACTTGCACAGGCTTTGTGACAAAGTGGGAACAGCCAGGAAGTGGGATGTTTGTAGGGAAAAGTACTACAATCCGTTTGGTCAGCTCCTCCACTTTGCATAGAGTAAATAAGTACAGTAATGTTTCTGTAGTTGAGAATGAATTCGGCTATTTCTTTTTTTTTTTTTTTGGTGGTGGTGGTGGTGGTGTTGGGATTTGAACTCAGGGCCTCCTGCTTACGGTATTCTACCACTGAGGCCCCACCCTCAGCCATCAGAGAGCTTTTGGAACTTCATGTGTCAACCTGATTATGCAGCCTTAAAGAATAAAGATGTAGATATTTATTGAAACGAAAAATGTTCAGCGAAAAATCAGATTACTCACAGTGGGATCTAATTTGTTGTTATGTGTTCATGTGCCTGGAAAAAAAAAATCAATCGTGGACTTCTTTTCTCAAGGTACTTAGGTCTATTCTGGTTTTGCTTGCCTGCTTTCTGTACCAAATGTATACAATCTGTGTATTAAAGAAAGAATACAATTCAAAATAAAACTAGAAACTCAGGGCTGGGGATGTAGCTCAGTGGTAGAGCACTTGCCTTGCATGTACAAGGCCCTGGGTTCAATTAATAAAGGAAAGAAAAAAAATCGGCTCTTGAGGAAAAAAAGCATTATTATCGATGCCCCATACCTAACAAGCAGGCATTTGAAACCATGTGTATAGGCTGTCAGTGAAGGGATGTGATGAGAACAGAAAGACCCAGGTTTAGAACTGGCAGCTGTGTTGGGAATTTTGACTAGCCTACCAACCCGGGCATGCTGTCTAGTTCCTCTTTTTCCTCCTCAGTCTGATAAGTTCAAAATGGGAATGTGAAAAATTTATTCATTGCAGTGTGACAGTGCCATTGATATAGTCGAATGTATTAGAGAAAATTGCAAGCACACCATATAAAGGCACGTAAGCCTCCTTAGAGATCATCCAGAATGGAATTCTATTGCTGGTGAGCAAGATGCCACACTCCCAAACAAGCAGTAGTTTGTGGGGAAATGTTTGCATTTATAAACTTCTAGCTCAAAAGGGGGAGAAATGACCCAAACATTGTATGCACATATGAATAAAAATAAATAAATAAATAAACTTCTAGCTCACCTTTTCTGAAATCATGCCTAAGTACTGTTTATGATGTGATTTAATATATAAGGTAATTAAAAAATAATAGCGCTAGCTGGGCACTAGTGGTTTACACCTGTAATTCCAGCTACTCAGGAGGCAGAGATCAGAAGGATGAGGTTTGATACCAGCCTGGGCAAATAATTCTTGAGACACTATCTCAAAAAATACCCAGCACAAAAAAAAAAGACTGTTAGAGTGGCTCAAGGTGTAGGCTCTGAGTTCAAACTCCAGTACCGCAAATAATAATAATAATGGCACTATTAAAATTTAAAAACTGTGCTGGGCATGGTGGTATACCCTTACTTTTACAGGGTGCCAGTGGCTCACGCCTGTAATCCCAGCTACTCAGGAGGCAGAGATCAGGAGGATCGAGGTTCAAGGCCAGCCCAGGCAAGTAGTTTGTGAGACCCTATCTTGAAAATAAGCAACAAAAAAAGGGCTGGCAGAGTGGCTCAAGAGCCTAGCAGGTGTGAAACCCTGAGTTCAAGCCCCAGTATTACCAAGAAAAAAAAAAAACCTGTTTGTTTTTCCGTCATTTTAAAATTTTTATTTTTTTTGTTAATTTTACCCAAGACATGTATTTTAACAACCAGATTTGGAATGTTGAAGAGGAAGTATCCAGAACTTATTCTTTTCCTTGAAGAATCGAAAAAATTATCAAATTGTGCTTGGTTGTTTAACCAAGAGAAAAACTGAAGTTCTCCAATGTCAAGTCATGTAATGTACATACATGAAAATGTCACAGCAAAGTCCATTATTTTGTACAATTAATGTATGAAGATTTAAAAAGTGCATAAAATTCTTTTGTTTTTGTCAGACACCAATGGCTCACACCTGTAATCCTAGCTACTGAGGAGACAGAGATCAGAAGAATGCAGGTTCAAAGCCAGCCCAGGGAAATAATTTTCAAGACCCTATGTCAGAAAAACCCATCACAAAAAAGGGCTGGTGGAGTGGCTCAAGGTGTAGGCCCTGAGTTCAAGTCCTAGTCAGTACCACAAAAAAATATTTTTTGGGGGTAAACTTTATTAAAATAGAAACAAGTTTTTTTTTTTCTGGTGGGAATGGGTCAGGAACTCAGGGCTTCACACTTGCAAAGCAGGTGCTCTACCACCTACCTGAGCCCCATCTCCAGCCCCAAAATAGAGACACTTTCAGAGGTGAAAGTGGGTGGTCTCTGAAAGAACAGTCAAAAACAACAGAAAGGTTGGTGGAGTGGGTCAAGAGAAAGAAAACATTTAGAACACAGAGTTTAGCAATTGTAGAGTCAGAACCAATTGTGCCTTTTTTTGGTATTATATATCCTCATTTTTTTCTGACTATCAACCTCCTGGGGTGTGGTTTGTAATACACTTATTGTATATCACCTGTTTAAGGACTGTTACAGTGTTCTCTATTAACTGCATTTACATACATAAACAAGATAATGTAAGTAAAAGTATTTAATCTGTATTTGCTATTATCTTTATCTTCTATCAGTATGAACTGTGACACAGAAATTCACTAGATTCCTCTATATGTAACAGGTTATATTCCTCTTTATGCAAAAGCTGACAATGCAGTCTAGAAATTATTAATTTCAAAATATTCACATAGGAATCATCCTGCAATAAAGGCACTAGAAGTTGAAAGCAGCGTGGTTTTGAGGATTTTTCACTCCCCTCCCCCCATCTCCTGGCAATGGAGTGAGCAAGGAGAGTAAAAGATATTATAAGAATATACCATTTTAGCTGAACAATCAAGAACTATTCTGGGAAAAATAAACCTTTGGTTATGCCCACGCCCACACTTAAGCACAGTTAAAAGGGGAAGCAGAAAGCTTTCTTGAATGTTCCCCAAAATAAAGGTAGCAAAGCCAGTGAGATTTAGGAAGGTGAATCTATATTTGGTAACTTAATTAAAGTAACTACATTCTCAAGTTACTTTCTAGGAAACCATGGTATTCTTAGTATTTTTAACTTGTCACAACCTGTGCTAATGTTGCCTTTTTTTCCCCCTTTCTCTTTCCTAAGCAACTACAATCATCTGAGAATTAGCATTCAGCAGCAGTATAACTTTTTAAAGCAGAAAACAAAGAATCACAGATTCCAGTGATCTGGCTACTTTAGCTAATACTCTTGAACTACTCAAGGAATTCTAGATTTGCCCCCTGGCGCCCAAGAGTAGTACAGTACACCTGAGAAGCAAAGTTAGGTACAGAACAAAGTGAAGCCTGTCACCGGAGAAAATCAGCCTCATTACCCCGAGACTATACAGTATGCAAGTAAGTTTGAGTCAGTTACTGCTGTTGAGGCAGGTTAGATTAGGGAAAACTAATGGGAAACAGCAGTCAGGAATTCAGAGATTCATAAATACCTTGTATTAATAGCTTGATTAAAAGCACACAGGTTGCCAGGTGCTGGTGTCTCATGTCTGAAATCCAAGCTACTCAGGAGGCAGAGATCAGGAGGATTGCCATTCTAAGCCAGCCCTGGGCAAATAGTTCCCAAAACCCTATCTCAAAAAAAACCCATCACAACAAAGGGCTGGTGGAGTGGCTCAAGGTGAAGGGCCTGAGTTCAAACCCCAGCACTGGAAAAAAACCCAAAAAAACAAAAACAAGCACACAGGTATTATTTTCTTTGCTAGAAGTCTTACACCTCAATGAGCTTTTCTTCCCCTTTTTATTTTTAGTAAAAAGAAAAAAAAGAGCAGCTCTCTCCCCCTGATCTTGCCCAATTGTCCAAATAATTAGTGTGCTCTGGGAACTGAGCAAGGATATCTTAGAGAAAGACACTTCTCCCAGAAAAAAACATGGGAAAATGACTCCTCAGGGAACAAGAAGTGTTTACAAAGGGAAATACTTGTGGCAAAGATGGACACCTGTTTTGATGGGAGCGTCTGGCAAGATCCATCCTTTGTTTAAAAGGATGTTCAGACATCCATGTCACTATGCCCCAAGATTTAGTGAACAGGCCAACCTTAAAAATCTCTGGGCCCAATTGATAAGGTAGATTGGCTGTAAGAATGGTGGAATATACCAGGTGTCCAAAACAAAGGTGAACACTTATCACAGATTAAATTAAGGTCAAACCCCCAAGTTACTTTTTTATCATAAATACTCACTGCACCTGTTATCAGACATGTCCACACCCATGTCTGGGCTGTGTACTGTGTTTCTATCTTTACTAATACATTTTTTGGTCTGTTCCTTCATGTGTCCTAAAATTGATTTTTTGTGACATCACAAATTTGGTATTCAAGGACCAGGTGGAGGCCTCCTTGCCTCCTCCCTCTTGCAGACCTCCTTCCTGGAGACTTGCCCATTCTGGTAACAGTGTTATAGTCTTTTTTTTTTGAGTCTAGGGTAAATATTAATACTAAACTTTTTCCTAAGTGTTAAATTTCTAAGGAAAATTGAAGACCATGCATACATACAACACACACATGGATGGGGCCTGGGAGACAAGCATAGTACACTATGTAGTTACATCTGAATGGTAAAAATTGCTGTTTGCTGATATTCAAGAAATATCTCCCCTCTCTGAGCAAGGTATCACTAGGATCTGGGATTGTCCTTCCTTAGTGTGACTGAGTGGTCCTATGCTGGTTGGTCCTCCAATTCTAGGCTGTTTTGTCAAGAAGACCAATATTATTCTGAGTGAGTCCTTTAATTTATTTCAAGTTTGAGAACCAGTTTTCATTCGTTTAAAAATTTTATTTATTGTTTCTCTGGGTTTGAACTCGGCCTTGCAGATGGAGGCAGGTGCTCTACTTGAGACACCCTTTATTCATTTTTTAAAGTGGTGCTTTTTAGGGCCTCCTGCATTCTAGGGTACCACTGAGCTACACCCTCAGCCCCTGTTGCTTTATCTGTGTGGGAGGACTTACTGTTTATTAAGAGTTTACAGTGCAGAATAAGATTGGGTATAAGATTCCTCATCTATCCTTTGAATTTCATCTGTAGTAACTATGGTTTTTAGTTTGTATACCCCCCTTTTTTTTGTTGGTGGTACTAGGGTTTGAACTCAGGTCTTCATGCTTGCTAGTTAAGTGCTCTACCACTTGATATGCAAACTTTTTATTTATTTATTTAGTTTTAGTAACAAGGTCTGGCATCCAAGGGTGGTGCTGGATCCTTCGGGCTCAGGCTTCCCGGTGCCACCAAACCCAGGCGAATCCCTTTTTTTACTCAGGAAAAAACCAAGTTAGTCTTAGTCAATCTGACCCTGGGCAACACTGGCTGAACAGAAATCAGTGACCACAGAAATCAGATAACATTTTAAATCTGTGGTTAATCATTTGCATTTGACAACTCTGGAAAGAGTTGTTAATGAAGGCTCACAGGCAAAGTCCACAGTCTTTAGTAATTTAGCTGTGTATTATCTCCTATCTATCACCTCTGGGAGTCTTCTAATGGGCTTCAATATTGCAGAAATCACAAAACAACAACAGTAACAGTAAGCTAGCATTTATTGAGCCAGGGACTCTAAATTTTATGACTTAGGAAAGAGGCTTGGAGAACTCTAGGACAAAGCTAGTCTTCGGGTCACCGGATGCTTCCGTCAGGACTGTCTTAACGATGAAAAGAGCAACAGCCACTCCTGCAGCAATCTCGGCCTCTCCAACGACCCCACCTTCCCCGCATGTCTTGAATTCAAGGTTTGTGTCGCTCGTGTTCGTCTTGGAAGTTACGCATTGTGACACTGATCATCTGCACTTGCACACAGGTATTTTTCCTTCCGAATGATTACTAATGTTACAAACACCAGGCCTCCCTTTTGGAAACTTCATCCCGGCACTCATCTACGCGCTCCGAGTCCCTCTGCAACGACTCTGCGGAGCAGTCCGAGTCCCACGCTGGCCGCTCCCGGTTAACCGTCAGAGGCTCGGTAGGCGGAAAGGGCGGACTACGCACCGCGCCCTCCGCGCGGGGTCCCGGGAGGAGCGCGCTCCGGGCCCGCGCGGCCCGCGGCCGGGCGAAGAGCAGACAAAAAGTGAACGGAAGCGAGCGTCTGGAAGGCGAGGACGGCGCGGCCCCGAGCTCCGGTGGGCTCTCCCCGCGGCTCCTGCACACGGTCCAGCCAGTCTGACCCGACGGTTGCCGCGGACACGGAGGCCGCGAGTCGCAGGCAGAAAACCCGCGGCCGCGAAAACAAGCGCGCTCCGCCCTCAGGGACGTCAGCACCTCGTCTCCACTCCCGCCTGAGCCGCGGGGACCCTCCCCGCCCCACAAAGGGCGAACCCCAGGCCCCAGAGGAGAAAGGGGAGGAGTCGCCGCCCCCGCCCTCCGGGACCCGCCCCGCCAGGCGATCCCCGCCCCCGCTCGCGCGGAGGCTAAGGCTGCCGCTCGCGCCGCCCCTCCCCCACCGCCGAGCCGGCGCGAGCCCCCGCAGCTCCCCCGCTCGGGCACCCTCGACTCCTGGAAGCACCGCCTCCTCACCCGGCAGCCACCGCAGAGCCCCCTGGGGCTTAGAGTCCTGTCGAGGCCGCTTAGCGTCCCGGCAGTGCGGCAGGGGACTGCAACTCCCACAATACCCAGCGCCGCATAGGCCACGCCCCCAGCGACGTCTAGGGACCCTGGACTACACTTCCCTACGGCCCTCGCGGCACTCCCGCCCTCCCTCCCGAGACACGAGCCGAACTGGGCGTCAGGTCGGGGAGCCGGTCGGGTTCCCGCTCGCCGCCGCCGCCCCCCGCAGAGCCTCTCCCGCCTCTCCGCCGCGAAAGCTGCATCGCCCACTCTGCTCGCTGTGGAGTCGCCAGTCCGGGAACACCGAGCCTGAGACGCGACACGCTGAGTCCCCCGTCTCCTCCAACCGGGGCGACCCCTCCCGGGACCGCCTTCGCTCTGCGAGTCCGCCGGAGCCCCTAACCCCGAACGCTCCGCGGCCCCGCGCCCGCAACCCGGTTCCTGCACTCCCGCAGCCTCCGCCCCCCGCCCGGAACATGGACTCCGACTCCTGCGCCGCCGCCTTCCACCCGGAGGTGAGTGGGAGCTGCGCCCTCATCGTCCCCCCCCACCCCCATGGCCTCCCTTTGCCGATCCTACGCCCCCATGGGAAGCCGCTCCCCCGGGAAGCCACCCGAGCCGCCCTCCCCTCCCCCAGCATTCCCTCTTAGCTTCTGGGGGCCCAGCCCCCGCCCCCCGCTAGGGCCCGCGCCGGGTCTCCCCGCCGCCCCTGCCCCGGCCCGCGTCCTCTCCGCGCCCGGTCCCTAGGGCGCCGCGCCCACCTCACGCCCGGAGGACGCCCCTCTCCCGCCTCGCGGAGCCCGGGACCGGCCTGCGCTCCCGCCCCTCCCCGCCGGCCTGCTTACTCCTCCCCGCCCCCGGGACGCGGCCCGGTTATCGTCGCCGGCTCCCGCCCCTCTCGGAAGGGGTCCCCTTCCCCTCCCCCCCCGTCGGCTCGGGTCCCTCAGAACGGCTTGGCGTCGCGCGGCCCCGCCGCCCCCTCCCCCGGCCCGGGCCGCGCCCCGCCCCCTGCTCCGCGCGCGGCCGCGGCTCCCGCCCCCCGGTCCCTAGGGCGCCGCGCCCACCTCACGCCCGAGGACGCCCCTCTCCCGCCTCGCGGAGCCGACCGGCCTGCGCTCCCGCCCCTCCCGCCGGCCTGCTTACTCCTCCCCGCCCCCGACGCGCGGCCGGTTATCGTCGCCGGCTCCCGCCCCTCTCGGAAGGGTCCCCTTCCCCTCCCCCCCCGTCGGCTCGGGTCCCTCAGAACGGCTTGGCGTCGCGCGCCCCGCCGCCCCCTCCCCCCGGCCCCGCCGCCGCCCCCTGCTCCGCGCGCGGCCGCGGCTCCCGCCCCCACCGGCGCGGGGGGCCGTGTAGTCCCGGGGGCTCCCCGGTTCGGGAGCCTGTGCCTTGTCCCCCGCCCCCGCTAGCTCGCCCCCAGCCCCCACGCTTCGGCCCCGCTCGCCCCGCCCCCGCGCCCTCCTCCTTCCGGGGATCGGCCTTGAGTTCTTCGCGTCGCCCCCCGCGCGGCCCCACCTCGGCGGGGATCGGGGTGCGGGGCTGGTGGCCGAAAGCGGCCGTGGGGGAGGAGAAGGGAGGAATGGAGGGAGGGTAGGAGGCTCCGGCGCTTTTCGGTCTCCTTGCCGCCCCGGTAGGCCCGTGGGGGGTTGCGCCGCGACCCCCAAATCCTGCCCGCCGTCCTGCACCCACGGATGGGCCCCGCACCTTCCGGGTCCGGCGCCGGTGGGGGGCGGCCTGTCCGGCGAGTGGCGCGCGCCATCAGCCTCCCCGGAGGGAGGGCGGTTCCCCAGCTCGTTCGGCGCCGCCCCGCACTCGCGTCCGGGTTCCTGACCACTTGTGCGTGATACCCCGCGAAGTTAAAAGTTGTCCCCGAGTTTGGGGCCTCGGCTGTGTTCCTCGCCGAGTCGAGAGGCGGCGGGGACTTGCGGACGGGGGTCCGGCTTGTTGTTGCCCGCCGCGGCCTGGCGTCCGAAGGGCGGGAGCGAGTGGCTTCCCAGAGTGAGTTGCCAACACTTAGAAGTGGAGTTTTCGGGAGAAACGCCGGGCCGCTCGCCTGCGCCTCGCAGCTCTCCCTGCCCCCGGCGGGAGGGACCACCCGCGTCCCTGTCCCCCCAGCCGGGCTGAGGCCCTGGACAGAACACCTAGGGGTGGCGATTTGGGGCGCAGTAAATACTCCCTTGGAAGGGGCACCACAGCCCCTTGTTGGGGTGGATGCTCCCGCCAGTGGGTGTGGGACTCGAAGCCAGAAGCTCTAGTATTGTTAGTCTTCAGTGTTCGCCCGACAGAGCAGGAACGTTCCGAGGCAAGAAACTGAAACATTTGCATGCTGGCATCCCGACTCCATGAGGTCTCGATGCTCTCGCCACCGGGGCCCCCCCCCCCCCCACCAAACAGGATCCTCGCTGCCTTGGTGCATGGGGGTCAGGCATGGAAGGGAAGAAAGAATAATTTTCGAAATGATTGGAAATGCTTTAGCTTCAGCTGCAGCAGGAGTTTCTTTTCCCAATGGAAAATCTGTAGCAAAAACGGTGTTATTAGAGATACTGATAGGCCTGTAGGGACTAATAGATAAGGTCAGAAAATGCCATATGAGCACCAAGAGGTAGAATTTTATACAAATTCTTATCTCCTAGCCAGTTTCCCAGTGTTCTTGGCACAAACTCTTAATACTCCTCTTTTACTTTTCTTTGAAAACTGTTGTTTCCTGAACCGAACTTACTTTATCTTGTTTCTAGACCATGAATCCAGCAGTGTGTTTTCTGAGTGGTTGACAGTAAAAGCTCCAGTTTGTTTTCTTGTTTCTTCTCATACTCTCATCTCTTTTTTCTGTTAACAGGAGTACTCCCCCAGTTACAAGAGGCGCAGGACTGTGGAAGACTTCAACAAATTCTGCACCTTTGTCTTGGCCTATGCTGGCTATATCCCATACCCGAAGGAGGTAATCTGCAGGCTTTTGAGAGGTGGCTCTGAAGGGGTTGCTGGTGACTACCTCAGATACTAGTCTGGCAGGACTCTGTTCCTTGGGAACTTGGGAGAGGTTCCTAAGGCTCTGATAGAAAACCTAACCTGGTCTAGAAATGATTCAACAGTCTCAAAAGTTTATTCCCAAGTAACAAGTGTAGTGTCTGCCTGCCTTAAGAATGGCTACTACTTACTGTGGCCACACACTGTTGTTGGCCCTTAGGATGATAGGATGTAGGTTCTGGTTTTTATCCCCCATTAAAGATGAGTTCAATGGCGGTAGGGAGAGGGAACTGCCTTGCCCGGGGTGGGAAGTAGGTGTCCGTACCCTGCCTCTCAGGTGCTGTGAACACCGTGTATCCTAGTCTTCTGACATAATGTCATGTACGTGGGGGAGTTTCCTCTTGCTGAGAAAATGGAAGGACTGTGGCCAGAACTTCTGTGAGCTCAACCTTCAGGGGCCTTGTTTGCATCCTACTAAGCTGATAAAAGAACCCTGTAGTGTAGGAGCTAGAATTGTGGCATTGGCTTACTCTTTCCACTTGCTGTATTGGTGGGTGATTTGTGCTTTCTGCCACATAGAATGTTGCCACTGTGGGCAAATATTACACTTGAATGATAGGAAGAACCATAGAGTTAGCTTGCCGCTGGAGGTAGTGCTTACCTACTTTAATTTTGCAAAGCTTTTGGATGTTTCTAGGTTTTTTGTTTTGCTTTTTTTTAATTCTTAAAACTGGTTGAATTCACTTGATTAAAAATATCGTCTGGGAGGGTAAATAACGGACTTTACATTCAGGGACAAACAAGAGGGTGTGAATATGGGAGTAAGTCTGTATCAGCTTTCTCTGGATTGGTGCCCCTCCTACATGCTAGGCCTGCTTGCCCCCTGCTGAGCCATAACTCACCCTTTCTCCAGTATGGATTTTGCATCCTCCCAGCCCTGGCTCTGGTATAGGGGCTGAGGGTTTGGCAAAGGGAGGCTGGTTCCTTCCTGGGAGCACATTAAGCTGCTGATGAGGCTGGTCCTCCAGGTGATGCTGTTGAGAGCCCAGGCTCAACCCTGTGCTAGAACAGTACTGGAGGTCATACCTGGTAGGGATGGCACAGGGAAGCTCTGCCCAGGGTGTCTCTTGTCAATAGGGACTGGTCAAAGTAACACTGTCTCTGTCCTTTCAGGAGCTCCCTCTGAGGAGCAGCCCCAGCCCTGCCAACAGCACTGCTGGCACCATTGACAGTGATGGCTGGGATGCTGGTTTTTCCGACATTGCATCCTCGGTGCCCTTACCTGTGTCTGACCACTGTTTTGGCCACCTGCAGCCCACCCTCTTGCAGCGAGCCAAGCCCAGTAACTACCTGCTAGACCGAAAGAAAACTGACAAGCTGAAGAAGAAGAAGAAGAGGAAGCGAAGGGATAGCGATGTGCCTGTGAAGGAGGGGTACAGGGGGGGCTTGCTAAAGCTGGAAGCTGCTGATCCATATGTGGAGACCCCCACAAGTCCCACCCTGCAGGAAATCCCCCAGGTCCCCAGCGACCCCTGCTCAGGCTGGGACTCCGACACTCCCTCAAGTGGATCTTGTGCCACTGTTTCACCTGATCAGGTCAAAGAAATAAAAACTGAAGGCAAACGGACTATTGTCCGGCAGGGAAAGCAGGTGGTGTTCCGAGATGAGGATAGCACTGGCAACGATGAGGACATAATGGTGGATTCAGGTGAGTGTCCCAGAAGAATGGTTGGCTGATGGTAGAAGAGGGGTTGTTTGAGCAGTTACCTCCTTTGAGCAGAGGGTCCAGGCCTTTCTTTGGGGTTTGATCTCAGTGTGCGCCCCACCATCCTGAGAGAGAAGTGCAGGGAGTAGTCCCTAGGGAAGGGTGGATGGCTGCTAGAAACAGCCTAGCTGACAAACCTCAAAATGTAAAAATGCTGTAGCTCCTAAGTGCACAGCTCATGGGTAATACCTGGTCCGCACATCTCAGTGCCGTCATGGTGCACTTACTGCACGTCAGCGTTGTGTGAAAGTTGGAATTGGCCTTTTGATTTTTTTGGGTGGTATTGGAGGTTGAACTCAGGGCCTTGTGCTTGCTACTATTTAGGTGTTTTTTGTATGGAGTATAGGTTTTAGGTCTGTACGTCCTGGACTGTGGTCCTCCTCTTTGTAGCTCCCTTGCTGCTGGGATGACAGACTTGTGCTACCATGCATGGGTCCGATGGTTTGCCCAGGCTGCTCTCGAATTGTAATCCTTCCATCTCCAGCTCCTGAGTAGCTAGGATATAGGCGTAAGCCACTGCTTCCAGCCTGGAATTACTGTTTTTTGTTTCTTTTTTTGTGGAACTGGAGTCTGAACTCAGGACTTCATGTTTGCAAAGCAGGCGCTCTACTGCTTGAGCCACATCTCCAGTCCTGGAATTACTTTTATCAGTGGGGAACAGATTTTAGCTATATGCAACTGCTCTGCCTATTGGACAAGTAATTCTCCATGTGGGAGGGGCTCTCTAAAGTTTTTCTACTTCTCTAATCTGTTTCATTCCTTCAGATGATGATTCGTGGGACCTTGTCACCTGCTTCTGTATGAAGCCATTTGCTGGCCGTCCCATGATAGAGTGTAATGAGTGCCACACCTGGATTCACCTGTCCTGTGCGAAAATCCGGAAGTCCAATGTTCCAGAAGTGTTTGTTTGCCAAAAGTGCCGGGACTCCAAGTTTGACATCCGCCGTTCCAACCGTTCCCGAATGGGCTCTCGGAAGTTATTTCTGGACTGACTGCACTGGCGAGGAGACTACAGGCGAGGGACCAGAAGAGATGGGGGCTCTGTGTCCCTTCCTTAGTTGAGCACAGAACTCCCAGCTCTGGTGTGGGCAGATCCTGCCATTCAGGTGCCTAAGTAAAAGGACAGGCTGTCCGAGGTAGAAACTGTATATAGCCAGCGCTCGAATAAAATCCTCGTTGGCCAAAGCTGCTGCCAGAGCTATGTTCTCTGCAGTGGAGGTGGACTGAACACCCAAGTGCGGTGGGTTTGGTTAAGCTGAAAGTGAGGGTACATGGTGGTTGTGAAGTTTTGCTGTCATTGTTAACAAATTCCTGCCATTTGGAACAAGTGCTTATGTTATCCCTGCTTCCACTGTGGTAGGGAGAGAGACACTTGGTTTCCCTGCCTGTCAATGAACAGCCATATGTGTGAGTTTCTTCCTCAGTGTCTGTGTTACCATAAGTGTCTGTACAGCAGCTGTCTAAGTTGGCCCCTGCTTTTTGTGGTCAGCATACTCCCTTTCTGCCTTGGCTGCACTTCTTGGCCGGGAGCTGCTGCTTGAGCTCTCTGCTGTCACTGGGAGGAGCCCTGGGGTGGTGGACAAGCTGGTGATTCTTTGGTTTTCCCTGTTTGTTAAAAGGGATAGTCTGTGGCCACTTCTCTATGGAAAGGGGGTTGTCTGGGGAGTTGAGGTGGCCTGTGTTCATAACTCCTGTTTGCACGATGTAAAAAAAAAAAAACAAAAAAAACCTGTCTTTTTTGCACGATACATCCAAAAGTATTGGCCGGTGTCTTGCTGGGGGCCCTTTCTCTTTGGTAGGTGTCTGAGGTCTCAGGGGGCCCCTGGAAACTGTTCTGGGTTCTCTTGTTTCTTCCCTCTCTTGTTCCACTAGAACCCTCTAGATTAGGCAGCCCTTGGGCTGGGATGTGAGCGCTGTTCCTTCAGATAATGGGTAAGAACAATTGGGAGGGAGCTCTCTGGTGAATCTTACTGTGCCCTTGATACAGGCTGGCCTGCTGGTTCCTCTGGGCAAGGTTAGGACTAGAATCCTCCTTTTGGTTTGAATTCGTGAGTGAATGGCAATGGGAACGTTAGCTGTTGAACTGTGCAGAGGTCTAAATTAGGATCCTGGACTGGGGAGGGTCCTAGGAGGGCCAGCTCTGGAGAGACCAGGGAGTTTACACCTGATCCCCCCCCCACAGAACTCTGCTCAAGCGCGGTGGCTGGGGAGAGAAGGCCTCTCCAATAGTGAAGTTACTTTTTGGCAGTTAAATACTTGTTCTTAATGTTTTGTGAAGTGATGGGTATGGTTCATGAGGATTGTTTCTTGTTAGGCATGAAAAGGGAAGAATGCCTAAGTTGGTCATATTTATTTGCATATTATTTGCAGCTGGATTGGCCTCACAGCTTCCTGCTGGGGCTTCCCCTCTGTGTGGTACCTTTGCCAGGCCCACAAGGCATTATCCCAGGTTCTCTGACTGAAGCACCTGCGGAGAGGGGGTCTGAACTGTAATTTGGTAATGAGAGCCCATTGTTTTGTCCTAGTAGCTTTCATACTTGTCCTGTCAACTGTCTTAGTTTTTAAAAATCCTGTTGCTTATATTAAAGTACGAAAGTAGAAATAGTTTCTGAAACTCATTTTATTGTAAAGATCCCAAGGGAGAATTCTGCTGTAGTGAAAAATAGTGAGCTGTTTTAGAAACAACCTTGTCCCCAGGCTGTTGTCTGGCACTGACTGGGGCAAACACCCAGGACAAGTTGGGGAAGAATTTGCCAAAGATCTGCCCCATGACAATGCCTGTCCAGTGTCTTCACCATGAGAATAACCAAAGTTTCAAAGTGTGTTTCTTTTCTTTTCTTTTTTTTTTTTTTTTAAAGCTTCCTAAGATTTTAAAGTGCATTTAAGAATCCATGTGATTTTAGAGTGGAACTGCCAGCCCTGGCAATTGTTAGGTGTGCTAGGTTTGATGCCTTTGGAATGTATTTGACACTCATCTCAATTTCTGTTTCTTTGACTTCATTTCTGTTCTTGTAACACATCTGCCCCCCTGTGGGTGGTGTCACCTTGGTTTTGGGGTTAGATTGAGCTGGGCAGCTGCAATCAGCATTTTTATGCAAATTAGGCATGACCCATCTGGGGGCTCCTGGTTGGTGGCTAATGAAGTGAGGGGAGGGAATGCTGTCAGCCCAGAGTAGGCCCCTCCGGTTGGCTTTGGCCAGGCCAGACACTTAACATCGTTTACATGGTTCTGTGTAATTATAAAGTTAATGTGTATAAAGCGAGCTGTTTCTGTGAAACTGTATATTTTGTAAATAAAGATATTGCTACTTTGAGGTCGGTGTCTGGCTTCAGGTGTTGGGGTTCTGTGCTGAAGGACACTAGTGGTCACCCCTCATCGCCTCCCCAAACTACGATTGCATGAAGGCTCTGGCGAGTTCAAGCTGAAGTTGCCCCATGGCAGGATCAAAGTGCCCACAGCCCTGACAGCTTTCTAGTGAATTCTTCAGATATGAAGAGCTTTCAGGATTTCTTGGTCATGTGTGGCTTAGTTTAAATCCAGCGAGGCCGACCTGCTGTGTAGAAGCTGCAGCGTTGTGTGGTTGCTCTGGATAGGAACCTGCCTTAGGTGCTCATTTTGCCCTTAACCCTTCGGTCTCCCCCAATGCCAAACCTCTGTCCATCAGACGAGTAGTGGCCAGCTGGCTCCTCCCCCAGTGACGTCAGATAAATAACCTATCACCTCTGGGAACCTCGCTGGCCGAGTTGGGGCTTGGGTTTTTCTCTGTTCAGTTTTGCAGGGCTGTCAGTGGGGGTGAGCGTCGGGGTGGCCTCAAAGCAAGGAGGCCCAGGGCTTTAGCAAACCGGTGGCGCTAGCGTAGGCCCGAGGTGGCGGGTTGGGGTTTCAGGCCTGACGTGGCACCCCCGGCCTGCCCACGCCGGGGCGACGCGGTCGCGAAGGGCCCCCGCCAGAAGAGCGCGGCCTGGAGCCCAGCCAGTCCCGCCTCCCGAGGCCCCGCCCCCCGAGGCCCCGCCCCCCGCTCCCGGACGCGCCGCCGCCGCCATCTTTGTTAGGGGCAGCGGCCCGGGCTCCGCGATGCCGAAGTCGTGCGCGGCCCGGCAGTGCTGCAACCGCTACAGCAACCGCAGGAAGCAGCTCACTTTCCACCGGTGAGAAGCGGGGCCCGCGGAGCGCGTAGGCCTCAGCGCCGGGCGGGTCGTGCAGGGGTGGCGGGAGAGGCCCGCGCGCCGCGTTCGCCCACCCCGCCTGGAGCGCGGGAGGGCGCGGGGCCGAGCCCGCCGGTCCACCTAGGCGGGCAGCGCGGAGCAGTGCGAGCCCCACAGGGTGGCAGGGACCTCGCGGTCGTGGGACACTAAAGTCGGCCCTGCAGCCTCAGGACCCCCCTTTCCCAGCATGCCCAGGGCAACACAGCCCCAAAGCGCGCGCGTTCTGTGCACACCGCTCCCCGCTCCCGTTACACTGCGTTTCAGGGTTACAGCACGCAGAAAGCATGCAGCCTGGGGTGGCCCCAGGAGCCCCCCGCCCAACCCCCAACCCGCTTCCAATCCCTCTTCCCCGTGGGGACAGATCCTGTCAGATTGGATTGCTTTGGCTGATTTTGAACTTTACATAAATGGAATCACACCATGTATGTTTGTACGTCTCTGAGAGTCATTTTTGCCACATGCAGCTGCTGAGTTCGTTCCTTTTCATGGCTGCATAGTGTTCCATGGAATGCATACACCAGAAATTAGCTGTTGTGCAATTGAAGGGCTCCTGGGTGGCTCCATTTCCTCCATTTTCTTTTTCTTTTTCTTTTTGGCCACAATATGTACTCTGGTCTAGATAGTTTGCAAGGGACTTACCTCCCAGCGCATGTATCCTTATGCTTCCCTTGATCGCTGCCTGAGGATAGAGTCTCCTCCATTCTCTCTTGAATCCATTCCCACCACACCACAAAAGAGCTCCACCACCACCCGGTGACCCTCATAATGCCAAACCTTGAGGTTTCATCTCATCTTTCTTTTTTTGCAGTGCTAAGGGATCGAACCTGATTTCTTGCATATGCTAGGCAAGACCTCCACTAGCATTCAATTCCTAATTTTCTCTAGTATGGATAAACTTATTTTTTTTCAGTGCTGGAGATTGTGCCCGAGGCCTTACACATGGTAGGCCAGTGCTCTACGCTGAGCCTCACCCTGAACCTCATCCCTCGCCACCTCCCTTACTGGGGTTTGAACTCAGAGACCTCACTTGCTAAGCAGGCGCTCTACCACTTAAGCCATGCCGCCAGTCCTGCTGACTTACCTTAATTGACCTCTATAGCATTTGACTCAGCAGCTCACTTTTTCCACATGGCTCCTAGGACACATTCTGGCTCTCTGCCTTTGTCCCTTCTGTGACTCCTCCTCGTTTCCAACACTGAGCATTGAAGAGCTCAGTGGGGACCATTGCCCGGTGACTTGTCACCATCCACGCTGGCTCCCGAGCACTGCTCTTACACAGGCGGTGGTTCTGCAGGGATATCCTTAGTTGAGTATGCCACTCCAGCACATGGTGACATGTGGAGCACCTTGAATTTAAGCCCTGAATACAAAACAAGCTTCTGGTCGCCAGCCTGTCCCTACTCTGTCCTCTATGGCAAGCTTGGGACTCTTTCCTTCCCTGTTTCACCATCCACAGGCAAACCTTCCTGCCAGGCTTTCAAAATACACTGGATCCACCCTCTCTTCTCCACCTCCTACTAATGCCTGCTGCAAGCTACCTGGTGCCTCTCACAGCAGCCAGGGTGGACTTAGGTACCATCTTGTTTGTGCCCAGAGCCTCCAGGGAGCCCCTCATTTACCTGAGGTCATGGGCCATATGGGCCCTACCCCCTGAAGCTGCCCCTCTTCCACCTCCCTGCTGTCCCTTTTGAAGGTCACATGGATCCTGTCCCACCTGCTGTAATGTCACCTGACCACCCAGTGCTTCCTCCACTCAGTCCAAATTTGCTTGGTTTGTTGTCTGTCCTCCTGGAGGGCAGACATTCCAACGTCTTGAGGACAGTGCAGGGTGCGGCATGTGGCAGGCTCTTTGACACGTTCGTTGCCTTGAGTTTCCTATTGAGGCTGCCATTAACAGAAGCTTCCAGAAATTAGATGTGATCTAATTTCTTACTTCTGTAATCCCAGCCAGCCTGGACAACAGTTAGCAAGACCTCCCCACCAAACAATAGCTGGTTGTGGTGGCATGGCCCTGTCACCCCAGCTCCACAGGAGGTGTAATGAGAGGATCAGAGTCCAGGCTGCCCCTTGGCAAAAGCGGGAGACCCTGTGCCCAGAATAACGAAGGCAAAAATGAGATGCTGAGTTCAACCTCTAGTACGGCCACAAAGACGAAAGAAATGAGATGGGATTGAAAACGTGAGGTCCGTGAGGTCCCAAAGCTGCCCATAAATCGCTCCGCTCACCTCGCCTCACTGCAGGTTCCCGTTCAGCCGCCCCGAGCTGCTGAAGGAGTGGGTTCTGAACCTGGGCCGCGCCAACTTCAAGCCCAAGCAGCACACGGTCATCTGCTCCGAGCACTTCAGACCCGAGTGCTTCAGCGCCTTTGGGAACCGCAAGAACCTGAAGCACAATGCTGTGCCCACGGTGTTCGCCTTGCAGGCCCCAGCGCAGGTAGGATGACGCCTGGGCACGTGCACAGCAGGAGGGGGCGGGGGGAACAGCCGGAGCCATCGCAAGAGGGAGCTTCCGGCCTCCAGGGTGCACAGTCTGCTGGCCCTAACAGCTGGCCTTCCCCTTAGGAGAAGTTGTGAATTAAATCATGGGGGGCTGGCGGAGTGGCTCAAGTGGTAGAGAGCACCTGCTTAGCAAGTGTGAGGCCCTGACTTTGAACCCCAGTGTCACCAAGAGAAAAAAAAATTACACCTACTGAAACCTGTTTTTTTTAGCCGGGCACCTGTGGCTCACACCTGTAATCCTAGCTACTCAGGAGGTAGCGATCAGGAGGATCGCAGTTCGAAGCCAGCCCTGGCAAATAGTTTGCGAGACCCCATTTCGGAAAAAAAAGCAATCACCTAAAAGGGCTGGTGGAGTGGCTCAAGATGTAGGCTCTGAGTTCAAGCCCCTGTACCAAGAAAAATCAGGGCATGGCTCAAGTGGCAGAGCGCTTGCATAGCAAGTGCAAGTCCCTGAGTTCAAACCCCAGTGCCATAAACTCAGTCAACCCATCAGTCAGTCATGAGCACAGTGATGTGTACCTGTAGTTCCAGCTCCTTGGGAGGCTGAGGCAAGGAGATTGCTTGAGCCCAGGAGTTCGAAGCTAACCTGGACAACACAGCAGGACCCTGTCTCTTTCCAAAAAAAAAGTTGGCTGGCTGAGTGGAGCACCTGCCTAGCAAGTGCAAGGCTGAGTTCAAATCCCAGTATCAACAACAACAAAAAAACCCAGGCATATGTGTTCCACAAAAGAACGTATGCTCTGCAAGAAGCCGACTGGCGAGTGTGAGGATCTTGGTTCTGAAGTTCACTCTGGCTGTGTCTCAGGTGGGCTGGAGGCCAAGAAGTGAGACCTTTCCTCCCGAGAGGCAGCGGGCTCGGTGTGGCATTCAGGCCTAGGAATCTTTGTCCTCCTGACCAGCCAGGGCTGGACAGTGTGCTGCTGGGCCTGCGCACATGGTGAAGGGGAACAGCTGGGTGGGGAGAGCCAGGAAGGGGGCTGGGGCTGGTGGTGGAGAGAGGCTGGGAGGGATTCGGGTAGGTTCAGGCTGCTTGGAGGATCATGAGGAACTGGAGAGCTGAGTAGGGCCTGGTGAGGAGAGGCATGGGCAGCACTTGGGGTTTTAGGGAGTCTGTTCTAATAGTCCCTAGGCTGGATGGATTAAAAGACAAGCCTTTATCTCTCAGGGAACTGGAGGTCTGAGAGGAGGTGCCCACATGGTCTGGTCCCAGTGAGGTCTTCTGGGGCCGGCATGGCTATTTGTTTTGGCTGTACTGGGAGTTTGAACTTGATCTTAAAGCTTGCTAAACAGATGCTCTATCACTTGAGTCATATCCCCAGCTCTTTTTTACTTTAGTTTTCAGGTAAGGTCTTGCTTTTTGCCTCAGACTGCCGTCTACCTACCTATGCTGGCCACATAGCTGGGACAGCGCCACTATGCTCAGCTTGTTTGTTGAGATGGGGTCTTGATAACTGCCCCCCCCTTTCCTCCCAGGTTAGCCTCAAACTTCCATCCTCCCCATCTCCCTCCCAAGTAGCTGGAAACAATTATAGGCGCGAGCCCTGTGCCTGGCTTCCTGTCTTCTTACAAGGGCACTCATGCCATCTCGAGGCCCCACCCACATTACCTAGTTCACCCAAGTGCTTCCAAATACAGTCCCACGGGGGCAGGGCTTCCACATATGGCTTTCTGTGGAAGCAAGCACGCAGGCTGCAGCAGTGGGAGAGGTGTGTCTTTGGGAGGCTCCCCCTGGCCGCAGGTGGAGTGGTTTGGGAGGAAGACAATGCTCTTGCACTCCTTGCTCTTGCACTCCCTAGTGCCCACCCCATGGGCAGCCATGCTTCGCATTTCCTTGTACCATCCTCCTCCTTTACTGAAAGCCCCAGGGCACTGCTGGCCAAGTGGACCACTTGCACCCATTTGTTAATGGTGCCCTGAAGTAAGAAGCAGCTGGGGCTGGGGCATGCTACTTTGCAGGTCTCATTGCTCCCAAGCTAGGGTGGTGGTGGCAGGAAGCTGCTTCTGGCCCCTGCAGGCACAGCCACCAGGCAGCAGGGACTGCAGATTCTTTCTGAGGAGCCTGGAGCAGAGATAGATAGGGTTTCACTGTGCGTAAACACGTCACCATGGGCAAACTTGTTGAGGCAGGATGCCAGGCCTTGGGGTGACAGGTATGAATTAGGTCTCTGGTTGTTTATGGACCTGTTGAGGGGCCACTGGCCTTGACTCAGAAGGCCCATGGAGAAAGAGGAGCAGTGACAGGGAGCCCACTGGCTGGGCTAGGTCATGTTAGATGTGCTCCGCATCGGGTAAGCAGTGGGGACATGGGTGCCTGAGGCTGGTACTTGGCTCTGGTGACCCTGGGGATGCAGAAGCTCTGTGTGTCTGTTGCAGTTGGCGAGGGAGAACGCGGGCCCTGCCAGTGAGAGAGATGCCGATTTGCAGAAAGAGAAGGTGAGTGCCATGGTTGCCCTGGTCCACTGCACATGCTTGGGGTTGCTGTGGGCAGCAGCTTCCTGGGAAGGCTGGTCTGAAAGCTGCTCCCATTTGCTCACAAGCTAGTTTGGGATACTGTTTGCTGGAGAAGGAAAGCCCAGCCTCAGGCTTCTCCCTTTAGTGTCGGGCCTCAGTGACAATAGGCTGGTGCCTCAAGGTTTGCGTCCTTGCTTGTGGTAGGAGGAGGTGGGTTGTTGCTATTGCAAGGCCTTGTGGCTTGAGCCTGGGCGCAGCTGCTTGTGTAGGGATCACTCTGGGATAGACAGTGGCAGCTGTGTGAGGATTAGTTGGCCAGCCGTACTCCACCTGCTGTTCCCAGGTCCACTCTGAGGTAGGGGCCGGGGAGGACAGCCCAGGGAGGAACATGGACGCTGCACTTGAAGAGCTCCAGTTGCCCCCAAACATTGAAGGCCCTGTGAGACAGGTAAGACCTGGGGTCCAAGCACGAAGGCAGCTTGTTGTTGGTTGGTCTCAGCCGGAGATGATTTTGCTACAAAATGAAGCAGTTCCATGGCCACAGAATGGGAGGAGCAGGGTAAGTGGCCTTGAGTTGCAGCTGCCCAGTAAGCTAACCACCAGGACTTGGAGACATTTGGACTTCAGGAGAGCAGTGAAGTGGGTCCTGTGGCCCCACTTAGATGTTTTCCTGCTGGGGACACAGGGTCATCTGGGCTTCTCGCCTTTGGGTAGCTCTTAGCCGTTGCTCACCTCTGTCCTTAGGTCTTGCCACAGAGACAAGATGAAACAGAGGCTCCTGGCTGGCCAGCCAGCCCTGCTCGATTAAGGCCCCTTCCCAAGCAGCCATCTGACCACAGCTACGCCCTTTTGGACTTAGATGCCCTGAAAACCAAACTCTTCCTCACGCTGAGGGAGAACGAAAAGCTCCGGAAGCGCTTAAAAGCCCAGAGGCTGGTGATGCACAAGATGTCCCGCCAGCTCCGGGCCCGTGAAGAGGGCCAGCGGGGATCCCAGGCCAGACAGCAGCCAGAGCAGCAGAGCTGAGCCTGGACGGGCTCTGGGACACGGGGATGGCAGCAGTCCCCAGGCAGAATGGGTTGCGTGCTCTGCTGTGGACACTTCTGTCTGCGGCTGGGAAAGTGGCAGAGACTAGCAGATGAGGAACCCATGTGTCCTCTGCTTGTGGAGTTAAGAGCCTCAGGCAAGGAGAGCGGGCCACAAGCAGAAGCTTAGTCCTGGTACCAGAAGCCAGGCTGAGGGGAGCTTTTGCACTCCTGTCCCTGTAGCACACTGGGCAAGGGTCAGTACCTTGGCACCAGGAGCTGTCTTGGCCCAGTGTCAGAGACCTGGAAGGAGAGGCCACTCTCCTTTGTGCCTTCTCCAGGTGTAGCCGTACCTTGTGGGGTCCCTCCCACCCCAAGCACAAAGAGACTCCTCTCCGTTTGAACACAGGAATAAAGTGTCTTTCTACCCTGCAGGCTTTTTTCCTTCATTTAGTCTTGCTGCTGCTAAGACTGATGTCCTGTTTCGTGTTAAAAAACAGGTAAAATGTGACTACCTTTCACTACAAAAAAATTGTGACTTTAATTAAGAGAAGCCCCAAGCCCTAGCCTGATTTCCTGGTGTGCGCTTCTACTTCTCAGGCAGATGTTTAACATAGAAAAAATGGTGTAAAACTGAAGAATCGAAGATGGGGACAAGGGCTCTGGGAAGCGGTCACTTGGGTGTTTTGCTCACTCCTAAAGATGCACACATAGACCAAGTTAAGCAGGACCCTTGGTGTGTTCAGGACAGGTTTATTTTGGGCAGAGTGCCGCATACAGTCAGCTTCAGACAGGAGGAGTGGCAGTGCCCAGAAAATCCTGGGCAGCAGCTCATGCAACACAGTGCAGGTTGCATGTCAGTCCATGGGGCAGTCAGAAACTTTTTTAAAAATGGAGAAGAAATACAGAACTGGGCAATCTGAACTGCTTTTAAAAATGCGGAAAGGGGTTATTTATTAAGAATACTAGGGTATTAGTGTCACGGGAAAAGTCTGGCTTTAGCACTTGCTGCAGGGGAGCTGGAAGCCAAACTGGCCTCTGCCTCTAGGGCCCATGGTCCCAACCACTGTCTGTGCAGCACCTGCTTGGAGGGAGCAACAGCAATTGACCACTGCCTACTTTATGACCCAGGCCTCTGCCCATGAGGCAGCTACCAGCCAGAGCTGTTCAGGGGTAACCCAGCAAGTGGGCAAGAAAAGGGGCCTGGGAACTGAGACACCATGGAAGCCCATGAGGAAGGGTTGGGTCTAGCCTGGCCTGGAAAGCAGCGCCAGTGCCACCTGCTGGGCACGCACAAGAGGCTCCTGGGCCAGCCCGGGGTTAATGTCCGTCTGGCATGTGTCTGAGCCTTCTTACTCTGCCTTTGCTTGTAAAGCTCCCCTGGTCCAACACTAGGCTGTAGTGGCGGTTGGGCACGGGCAGGCCAGGTTGCTCTGCAGGGGGAGGGACACAAGTTAACCTGTGTCCACAGGCAGCAGGACTTCTCATAGGTACGTGGGCAGTGTCCCATGACAGGGACGGTGCCCTGGGAATGACAAGGATGGTGCCCTAGGAGTGCTTTGCGAAGCTCTGGGGTGGGGAAAAAAGAGACTAGTTTCCAGACCTGTTTGTTCTCAGATAAAAAGCAGTTTTATAAACCCACAGTCCTCTCCAGGATCACCTCTTAATATTTCAGCAGAGAAAGGCGGTTTGAGGGAAGTCAACTGAGCATCTGCCCCTGCTCTGGAGGCCTGGGCATGTGACACGCCTTCCTTCTCCTCCATGTTTCCCATGTTCAGTGGGCTTCAGGAAAAGCAGTCCTGATGGTCCATAAATACCTCCCGACGGACTAAGAACTCACTCCAGGCAGCACGTGTGCTGAGGACCTGGGGGGACCCGAAGAGTGGCCCAGGACCCTCCAGGAACGAGATCCCTGGGGAAGAAAGACGTGAGCATGCTGCGGTCTGGCAGGGTGGGGCTCCTCAGTCCTACCCACAGCACCCGTGAGCTGGGCGTCTGTGTGTCCCTTCACATAATTGATACGGTGCCACCTTCCCGAGGGAGAAAATAAAAACATCTGATGTCTGGGTTTTCCCTGCTTCCAAATTGGTAGACTCCCTGGAAAAGATTTTTGTCTGCAGCCTCTTTAATCAGTTTCTCAAGCAGTTTATCCATCTGTATCGATCCTGTGAGCTAGAAAGGAAAAGACGAAATCAGGCTTCACAGGTGTTACTGCATCCCCTTCCCTCTTGGGCTCAGCAATCTGCCTGGGCAACCCCTAAGCAGAGCTCATGCTCCCGAGAACCACCTGCTCCTGGAACATGGAGGTCACACCCAGCCACCCACACCAGCCACAAGCACACTCTTGAGCTTCATCTGTGACAGGGTGGGTGCCACTTTCTGGGATTCTCAGCAAGTCCACGAACCACTGTTTCACTGCACCTGGTGGACCGTAGTGGGAGAAGGCAGCCATCACCTATATGCACCCTGCCACTCACACTGCTTGGGTATCCTCAGGGCCTCGCTGTCAGGCACCATCACCTGGTGCAGCACGCCTCGGAACTGGTAAAGCACACGCAGGTTCTTCTCCTCTCCTACACATGGGTCATAGAACCCTGGCAGCCCAGCCTGCAACAAACGGAGGATTGGTCAGTTGAGCCCACATGGCTTCTCTCTGCTACCCGCAGTGCTCATCCAGTGCCACCCAGGCATGGTGTGGATGGAGATGCACACTTTGGAACTTGAAGAAATGAGAACTCTGAAGAGTTGTCTAGGTAGCACTAGACCTGCCTCTCAATACTGGCCCCTTCCCTGCTGTGCCTTTATGGAAGCCCTCCCAAACACAGCACCTGCCAGCTTCTTTGGGCACCAGGAATGCTTTGACCTAACTAATCTATCTAATTCTTCTGAGAGTTCACACCTAGGTTCCAGAGTTGAGGTTCACGTGTTCCCCTAGTGGCCTCCCCTCTTTCTGGAACATGGACATGCCAGTGTGTTGATTGCTACTATGGAAGGAGCTCAAGAAATACTTGCTGAGTGAATGGATTCTGGAAGGAAGAAGGAAGAGCTCCAGTGTGGGTTATTACTTGGGAGCCAGGCAGTGGCTCCCATATCCCATGCTGCAGATGGGATATGAAGGATGCCACTGCAAGGAAATGGCCCCTGTGAGGGACAGGGTGACCCTGTTAGACAGAACCAATGCTCCAAACTGCCTTTCTCTATGGACCCTGTAAAGCATACTGTCCAAGGCGGCTGGCGCACTGTACCTTAGAGGCCTCTGTGAGGATGAGCTTGGAATCCTTCACCAGGCACTGCAGGGGCACAGTCACATCTATCACCTTCACCTTTTCATTCTTCTTGCTCTTGTCATTGACAAACTTCCCGTACCAGGCATTCACAATGATGAGCCCTGGGGACCGACCAGTCAGGGCAGAGATAGGCCTCCTCTGGACACTTCCCTCTGAAGCTTTGAGACCCCCTTCGTCCACCCCAGCCCAACAGGACACAGGCCTTCTCACCCATTCTGGACTCCTCTGCTTCAATTATTCTTCGGACAGATTCCTGCATCAGCCGAACCTGCCAGAGAAGGAGCCAACTATGTCAGGGCCCACTAGGATTGCTCCATCTCTTTGTTCAGAGTCCACAGCCTGTGTCTAGGCCAAGACACCTACACAGGAGGGAGCGGATGCCCTGGGGCTCAGCTCCGCTGTGGCGAGGTTTGAAGTCCTTAGACCTAGAGCAGGCAGGCACTTGAAATGGCATGACTTCCACCGTGACTGCCAGTGGGAGGGAAAACACCTCAGCTTTATTCCTAGGGATCTTGCATGGGTGGGAAGACTTTAGTAATCCAATGAGAAATCACTGAACAGCCTGTCAGCATTTGAAAATAAAGATACCAGCCTGGGATGGCCACAGGTCTCGTGGCACCAATCAGCTGGGCAGGGCTATGCTGCCTCTTGAATGTGCTTGCCCTGCTGCTTGTGTGACCCAGGCATGCTCCAGGCTGGTGCCTGGGTGCTGTACACACCTGTGCCTTTTGGCTCTTCCTCTCTGACCAAGAGGAACTGCATGGTATCCCTGGACTATTTATCCAGGATGCCTTTGTGCTCTTGTGTCCTATTAAGGGAGTACTTAAAGGGAAGAAAGAGAGGACAATACTCACCACTTAAAAAAACAAAAGCCCAAAAAACACCTTGTTAATGCCTTTGGAGGGACAGGGACTCAGGGCTCTAGAATTGAGTCCCACAGGCAATGTAAAGGTTAAATGGTGAATGAAGCTGCTGGGAAAGAAAAGCCTGAGGCCTGTTTTCCTACACAGCCCGAGGTTGAGAGGGGCGGCTAGAGAAAGAGCGTGCTTGTGTTCTGGGATCTGCCCACAGTAGGAAGCACGTTCAGAGAGAGGACCAAAGGGCTCCAGTGATGCGAGGGGCACTTACAGCAGCTTCTGCCTCTTGCTTCTTCTGCAGGATGTCATTGGCAGTGCTCTCCCTTTGCTTTTCCAACTCCCTTTCGTAAGACAAGCACAAGCCACACATGAGCATGGCGTCACCCGCAGTGAGTCAACAGGGCCCCTTGTTGGATATGAGCCCAGCAAGCAGTCTATAGTCTTACTGGACTTCTAGTTTTGGAACTTAAAAAAAAATTTCCAAAATATCTCAGGCAAGCCTGTGAGTCACAGGCCTGTGCAGCCTTCCTTAGTTCCCAGATGGCTCTCCCCGCCCACCTCCTCCCCGGAACTTTGGGAAACCCACTGTCACCCTCCTTGGAAGTAACACCCCACCTGACAAGAATCACGGGTGAGTCCACCAACCTTCTGGAATTCTTAAAGAATACTTTTGGTAAGAACTAATAGTAGGCTGGGAGCTGGTGGTTCACACTTACAATCCTAGCTTCTCAGGAGGCAGAGATCAGGAGGATTGCAGTTTGAAGCCAACCCCAGGCACACAGTTCATGAGACTCCGTCTCAAAAAAACCCATCACAAAAAGGGGCTGGTGGAGTGGTTCAAGGTGTAGGCCCTGAGTTCAAGCCCCAGTTCCACAAAAACAAAAAACAAAAACAAAAAAAACCTATAGTTAGTGCCTGTCCCTTTCAAAAGAGCAGAGCCCATTTCTCTTAAACTCTATGCTAGGAAAAGGGATGGTCAGGATGAGAAAAAGGACTTTTTATTTCTTGTGATCCTGCTTCAGTACTTTCTGAAAGCAGGAATGATTAAGTGAGGGTTAACAGTTCTTGCTGCCCGTCCACATTTTCTAAGGCTTCATCAGGTCTGGTGCCAGGCTAACACTGCCTGCGCTAGCACCTTCAATCTCCCTTGCTAGGTTCTGTTGCCTTTGGTTTAAAGGCGAGGAGATCGAGGCCCAGGGTTGTTCAGTGACATCCCATGGCCAGTGTTTGGACTCACTTCTCTTTTTGAGCCCTGAGGTATGGTTTGATGATCAGACGGTGCATAGCAAAGTAGACCACGAGAGGCCCCACAGTGGCATAGAATACAGCGCTGGGAAGAAGCTGGTCCGTAAGATGAATAGGGAAGAAGTAGGTCTGACTGGCCCTGTTGAGCCTGGGGAAAAACACAAAGACAAAGCACTCAAGATGAATCAGGGGTCCAGTGATTGGCTGTGAGGATCTCACACCAGGAAGACAACTCCTGGACAGAAGAACACACCAGTTTGCCAAGGTTACAGTCCTTCTCAGGTTCCCCATTCCCCACTGCATGTTGACTTCAAGGGCACAGCAATAGCTAATACTTATCCAGAGTAAATGTCCCCTACAGCTGTGCTGTCAAAGGCTTTAGGGGAGAGGTGTCCTGGAGGGAGTTGCATTTTAGTTCTTAACCCATGTGTTCCAAAGACTACGGGGATTTCAAAAGCTAGCAAATAAAGGAAAATAAAGGAAGCACTGCTTTCAGTGATGGCCGAGCAGCTTCTGCTGATCAGTGTTCTCACAGAGAGCAACTGTAAACTTGACCACATATAAAACAAGGATTTATTCACTGAGATGGGGTCTTTTGTTTTTTTTGTGTGTTTTTGGTGGCACAGGGGTTTGAACTCAGGTCCTCAAGCTTGCAAAACAGGCACTCTTATCACTTGAGCCACTCCACCTGCCTGAGATGGGGTCTTGCTATGTTGCCCAGGCTGGCCTCCAAGTCCTGTGCTCAAGCCATCCGTCTGCCTCAGCCAGGGTGTGCCACCATGCCAGCCTGTGGTCAGTATTTATTTGTCTTTATTTTGTTTTAAACCAAAGACTTTTAGCCAGACACGGCAGCTCACACCTATAATCCTAGCTACTTGGGAGGCTGAGATCCAGAAAATCACAGTTTGAGGCCAGCCAGGGCAAACAGTTTGAGAGACCATATCTCAAAAATAACCAGAGCAAAATGGACTGGAGGTGTGGCTCAAGTGGTAGAGCACCTATTTTGCAAGCGTGACATCTTAAGTTCAAACCCCACCAAAACAAAACCAAAAAGAACTCCCAACCCCAAAGATTTTCAAGTACTGAATAGCAACTAACAGCAGGTACACACTGAAGGAAGGCTGAGACTTACAGGAGCTCAAACTCAGGGCCTTGACATGCTAAGCATGTGCTGTATTGCTGGTTCATTTTTCCCCCCCTTTCTTTTATCCCTGGTTCATTTTTTAAAGCAGTTTTTAGCCTGGGAGAGTCTCAGCCTGAACCACATTGGCTAACTAACACCTGCAAAGAACCTTGTAGTCATGTCAGATCCAAAAACTAGGGCTCAGAGTTTGGAAAAACTGTAGCAGCTAGAAGTGCAGAAGCCAGGTAAGGAGGCTTACAAAGAAAACCCCAGGCTGGGACACATGTGCTGTGGGAATGTGGCACAAAGCTAGCTGACCCTGGTCACTCAGTAGTCTGGCTGAGGCTAAAGAACTGCCCTAGATCTGGCTGCTGCCACCACATAACCAAGTTACTTGCCTCTAAAATGAAAACTCAGGGTGGGAGGAGCAGCTCAAGTGGTTGGTAGAGTGCCCGAAAGTTCAAATCCCAGTACCACAAAAAAAAAACTAAAAAAACAAAAACAAAAAGTACATTTTTTTCTGAGAAACAAAATATAATCACTACTTCGTCTTATTCATAATACTCAAGATACAATGACTAAAGACCAACTTAGATGGTGTAACTAGCAAGTTAGGATTGCAAAGCTAGCTTGTTTTAATCATGTCTCAAAGACAGAAGAGAATCAAAAGGATGGGCTGGGGATGCAGCACAGTAGTAGTGTCTGCATGAGGCCCTGTGTTCTCCAGCATGTCAAGGTGGGGGTGCACAGAAGAGCTATGAAATCTCTTCTGAGAAACAGATATTAGAAAGAAGGGTCCAACAGATACAGTAGAGCTGCAGGATTAGCATCCCCCTTGCAGTCGGCAGGACCCTCCACCTCATCAGGAAAGCCACGGACATTGTGACCGCTGCTGTCAGCCATCTTGCTCTGACTTATGGTGTGGTGCTTATGGAACACCACACCAACAACTGCAGAACACACACTCATTTCAACCACACGTGGGTGTTCACCAACATCAGACACATGCTGGGGCATAAAACAGTCTCAACAGGTTTAAGAATATGACCGCTGACCAAAATGAAATTAAATTAGAAATTAAAAAATCAGCTATGTAGGAAAAACAATCAAATAGCTAGAAATTAAGCAATGTATTTCTAAAAGTGAAGTAGCACCCAAAGTGAAATTTATAGTGTTAAAATGTTTTTTTTTTAGAAAAGCAAGGTCTCGAGTAACCTAAGTTTTGATCTTATAAAGCTAAAAACAAGAGAAAGTAAAATCAAAATCAGTACAAAGATAGAAAGAATAAAGATCAGAAATCAGTAAAATACAAAACAGGAGAATGAGAGAAAAAAGTTAACTAAGTTCTCTGCAGGGCTGGCAGAGTGGCTCAAGTGGTAGAGCACTTGGCTAGCAAGCATGAGGCCCTGAGTTCAAACCCTGATCCTGTCCCCACCCTCCAAAAAAAAGTTCTTTGCAAAGATAGAGAAGGAGGGAAAGGACGACAATAATAGGGATAAAAAGAGTTGGCCTTAGATAACTGTAGACAGACTGAGGACAGGGGGTAAGAGCAAATTTCTGCCAACAAGTTGAGTGTGGTGTTCATGCCTATAATCCCAGCAGTCAAGAGGCAGAGGCAGGAGGGCTACATAGAGAGACCATGCCTCCAAAAAAAAAAAAAAAATTATGCTAACAAATTTAACACTTAGACAAAAGAGAAATTCCTTGAGAAAGGCAAAATAACAAAGTTGACATAAGCTGAAATACAAAATCTGAAAAGCCCTATATTTATGAAACAAATGAATCCATTATCAAGAATTTTCCTACAAAGAAAATTCAGGCTCAGAAGATCTTACTGGTGAATTCTGCCACAATGAAGGAAGAAGTAACACATCTGTCAGAAGGCCAAGAAGGAAGGGGTTATTTCCTAACTTACTTTACAAGGCTGGCTCAGCTCATCCCAAACGTAAGAAATATATAATAAAAATGACAAGTTGTAGACCAGCACCCTTTACAAACATACACACACAAGTCTCTGCTAAGATATTAGCAAAGCAAATCAAGTAATATAGAAAAAGACTGATGTCATGATCAGTGGAACTTCCCCCAGGAATGTAATTTTGGTTTAAGATTATACAAGTAGGAAACCAGGTGCCCTCTGGCTCACACCACTTGGGAGGCTGAGATCAGGAGGATCAAAGTTTGAGGCCAATCCGGATAGTTTGTGAGACCCCAGCTCCAAAATAACCACAGCAAAATGGACTGGAGGTATAGCTCAAGCAGCAGGACACCTTCTTCGCAAGCCCAAAGCCCTGAGTTCAAGTTCTGGTCCCACAAAATCAAAACAAAAACACAAAAAGGGGCTGGAAGAGTGGCTCAAGTGGTAGAGCACCTGCCTACCCTGTGTGGGGCCTTGAGTTCAAAACCCAGTATTAGCTGGGTGCTGGTGGCTCACACCTGTAATCCTAGCTATTCAGGAGGTAGAGATTAGGCGGATAGAGGTTCAAAGCCAGCACGGGCAAACAGGTGGTGAGACCCTAATCTTGAAAAAAAATCACAAAAAAGGGCTTGTGAAATGGCTCAAGGTGTAGGTACTGAATTCGAGCTCCAATACCGCAAAAACCAAACCAAACCAAAACAAAAAATAAAGAGTATAAGAGCACAGTTAACCAGGTCAGACTGCCTGTTTTGCGGAAGCTCCAGCACTTCTGCCAGAACTTCAGTTATATAGGGGAATCTCCCTAATAAAAATCTGAAATGCCACAAAGCCCAGAACTTTCTGAGAATCAACACGGTGCCACAAGTAGAACATTCCATCCTTGACTTGGCTTGACTAGTCATAGTCAAAACCATGCACACTAAAAATACTGTATGGATTTATCTTCAGGCTATGTGTATATGATATACATGAAATGTGAATTTCATGTTTAGACTCGACTCTCACCCCCACATTATCTCATCATGCACATGCAAATATTTCAAAATCTGAAAAACACGAAATCCAAAACACTTATTACGGTCACAAGTGTTTTGAATAAGGGGTATTGAGCCAGTATACCAATTCAGTTTGGACAATTTAGTCCTATTACCATAGAAATGAAAATGTGTTTTTTTTCCAATGAGATATAGAGTGACATCCCAGGGGTGAGGATCCATTTTGCATCTGCACAGGAGAAGGGCTGAAAACAAGCTTAGTGACGTACCTTACCAGTGGTCCCAGTTCAGATTAAAAAGCAGGGGTTAGAATGCAGAAGATGTGACAGCTCTGTCTGCCCTTTATTAATCTCAGGTGTCCCCAAACCTTGTCTGAGAGGAATGGCTGAAGCTGGCTTTGATCCTGGTAAGCAGCTTTGGCCCTATTTGGCAAGGCTGAGGTGTATGATTGCTTTGAGGCACACAGAAAGCTTCGCTCTAGTGCAAAGCTAGAGTAAAATGGACTAGTCAAAGAGGTCATGTCTGATGGGCAAGGAAAGGGCTGGCCTGGGGCTCGGGGAGGGGTTACTGTTTTACCTGTGGGGATGAGGTGACATCAGCAGAGACAGAGGCAAATGTACCACTCTGGTGCTGAAAGGCCAACAAGTAGCAGGTGGGGAGCAGGACGAGGTGTGGATGGTGAGCCTTGGGAAAAGCTGGAGGCCAGGGCAGCTGGAATGAGTGAGTGTGGGGGAGTGAGGCAGTCAGGACAGTGAGGGGCTCATCATGGAGGTCCCTGTGAGCTCCAGAGTCCTTGAAGGATGTTCTGGGTGCTGGGGATGTAACTCAGGGATTCTCATATGCCAGGTCAGCATTCTACCACTGAGCCGTACCTCTGCCCTGTCACTGAGGTTTTGAGCAAAGTGACATGGGCTGACTGTCACAGAAAGAACTATTCTGCCTGTGTAGAGGACAGACTGAGGGATCAGGTAGGAGGACACTGTGGTAAGTGAGCAAGACCTAGGCAGGAGAGAGGCTGTGAGAACTGGTTAGACTCAAGCATGCTTTCCAAGTAGATGCCAGGCCATTGTGAGATACGTCAAGTTCAGAGTGTGGGAAAGAGTGATCAAGGGCAATACCAGGGTGTCTGGACAGAGCAAGTGCAAAGCTGGACCTCTTACCTACTGAGGCAGGAAGACAGGCAGAGCACATTTGGAAGGGTATGTATCTGAAGGCAGGGGAAGGGGACTCAGGGTCCTGTTTGGATGTGTGACATTTAACCTATTGTTAAGATTTCCAAGCAGAGATCTGGAAGAGGAAGTGGACATATTGTTGTCGTCCCTCAGAGCATTGGTTCGAGGACCAAAATCTTCAGATGCTTAAGTCCCTTGTATAAAATGGTGTAGGATTTGCATAGACCCTACACATATCCTCCTGTATACTTTAAGTCATCCTTTGATTCCTTACAATATCCAATGTAGCATCAATGCTAGGTAAAGGGTTGTCATCCTGTATTATTTAAGGAACAATGATGAGAAAACTCTATACACATGTTCAGCACACATGCATTTTTTCCAAATATTCTTTCTTTTCTTTATTTTGAGACAGGGTCTTACTATGTGGTCCAGAGTAGACTTGAACTTTTTTTTTTTTTTGGTGGTACTGGGGTTTGAACTCAGGGCTTCTCGCTTGCTAGGCAGGCCCTCTGCCATTTGAGCTGCTCCAGCAGTCTTTTTCATGTTTGGTATCTTTGAGACAGGATCTTACAAACTATTTGCCTAGACTGGCTTTCAACCATGATTCTCCTGATCCTCCTGATCTCTGTTTTCTGAGCAGCTAGGATTACAGGTGTGAGCCACTGTTGCTAGAGTGGACTTGTACTCTTGATCCTACTGCCTTAGTCTCCTGAGTTCTGGGATTACAGGTCTGAAACACTGTGCTTGGCTGCATTTCCAAATATGTCAATCTGAAATTGCTTGAATCCACAGAGATAGATCCCACACTACAGAGAGGGCTGACTGTGTGGAAGAGCTGGAGATTTAGGAAGTGGTCCAAATAGGGGTTCTCAAGGTGAGAGTCCACAGTCATGAAGGTACTAAAAGCCATGGGGCTGAATTGTACTACTTGGGTGTGAGCCCAGGCAGAGCAGGACAGTGCCTCATGGTAGTGCCTTCAGGTAGAAGTCTGGGAAGCTGGGAGAACCAGACAAGAAGAAAAACAAAAGTGCAGTGTCCTGGAATCCTAGCTCAGGGAGCTGTAAGGCAGGATGGAATAGCCACCAGGGCAGAAGCTGCTAAGATCAAGTGGGATGAGGATACAGAGCTGCTCCATGTGTGAGAGGGAGGATGCCCAGCTGATGGATGAGAGAGGCTGTTTTTAGAGAGGTCTGGGGATTTAGAGGGCTTCAGAGTAAGTGAGCAAACTCAGTTGGTGTTTCTGAAGAGCAAGGGGGCAGGGTGGAGAAAGGTGTGCCTATGAGAGAACCACCTGGCCAGAGGGTAAGCTGACACTGCAGGTGCCTGTGGTGGTGCAGGAACCACCTGGCAGCATTGGTGAGGAGGCCTCAGGTGCCTGGTGGTCACCCAACACCATCAGGGAGGCTGGACAGACTTGGACCTCATTAACTTACTGATGGATGTCCCTGCTTCTTGACCTCTGCTCATGCAACTAAGACAGAAACAATCAAAACTACAAAGCAAAGGCCACTTTGCCCTTAACTTTGGAAAGTTCAGCAAGTGAAGATGCCAGGCATTCCCTGGCTAGAGGGAGCAGTATTCAACTTACTTGACTTTAAGAGAAACGCCCTGTGGGACTCCAATGCTGACAGCCGCACCCAGGACACTGTGTCTGGAGATCTTCCTCTCAGCCCCGTACTCCACTACTGTCCCAAAGAAGCCTGCCCTGCAGGGAGTAGAGCTCAGCTGTCAGTGCCTGTGTCCCTTCTACCTACCACCCCACAGCCAGCCCTCATTTGAAAACAGAGCCTGGGTCTTATCCCTCCCACTTCTGTACCAGCCATCACCCACGGGGGCAGTCAGGACTTACATTCCATGGGGTAGTAAAGCAGCACTGGGGCATCCTGGACATTGTCCAGCAGCCAGAGCTCAAGGCTGGGTCACAGAGCAGCAAACTCCTGCTCCCAAGCAGGAGGCACTCAGGGGGCATTAGGGGCCACACATGCAGGCGACCTCCTTTGAGAGCCCTCCACAGAGCCAGTGGTGCTCTATTACCAAGGCTGGACTTACTTGAGGGATCCTTTCACACGTGTCTGGTCATCGTCTTGGAACTTGTGCTGATAGCTGATCAGTGCAAAGGAGTGAGGGATCCCCAACTGTGGAGACAAAAGGTAAAGGATGTGGGGCTGATTCTTGCCACTCTGGGAAGGCAATGTCTGCCCTCAGAGCAGCTGGGTGCCCACTGTGCACAGGCCTGAACCAGGGGCCACCACCTGGCAGCTGCACAGGTGTGTGAACATTTACGAGCAGCCAGTGCAGCCATAAGTTGTGTGAGAGCTGAGCAATGTTAAGGAATCTGTCACTCCGTAGGCTGACTACGCCATGCATCACTGGCAGAAATGTTAGTAGCCCATGACTCTAAAAACTGGGGTTCACATAAAAATTCAGTTTTCTAGTTTCTCATGAAAAATAAAAACTTCTGGAAAGGTGAGCCTGTATTACTGGGTGGTGGTGGGAGGGGGCTGAGGAGCAGCTACTCTGAGAGCCTTTCCCCAAACCTTCTTCCCCCACTGCCTGGCCACAGTGCATCTGACAGCATCCTTCTGTCTTGGGGCTCAGCTGCCAACCATGGCTCCCACTCTGATTCTGTGGGTTTCTCCTACCAAGGATGTTACAATGCCATTTTGCTTTAGGACGATCCAAACATGGCCACCTGGGCACCTGTAGCACTGGAAGCACCTGCAGACAACGGCTGCGTGTCCACACGATTCACTGTGCCCCAGAGCAATGGGCTCCAGGGTTATCAGGAAGCAGGGTTTAAAGGCATGACGATGCTCGAGAGAACGGTCCTTGTGGAGCTGCATCCTCAGCAGATCTTGGCTCCCTGGCTCACCTGCAGGGCCACAGTGAAGTGGCCGGTCTTAGTGTCCCGGACAATGCTAGTGTTCATGGCTGACTGGATACCCCATCGCCACTGCAGGTAGCCCACGGTGTTCTTGTCCAGGTTCCGAGCTAGGACAGTGGTAAGGCCAGGACGGATTCCACGGGATGAAAACTGCAGAGCACAGTTTGTTGTCACAAAGCTGGGGGGACACAGATAGAAAGGATCTGGATGACACCTGGTCTTAGCTGTTGTCCATCACTTCCTCTCTGCCAGACTAAGATCTTGCTCACCATTACTCCCATGAATCCCTGGGCCAGCTCTCAGCAAGAAAAGGCAGGAGACCAAGGAGCAAGGGAGAGAAACCTGGTAAATTCCTTCCAGAACCCTTCCTGATGATCTGCATTCCCCCATCCTCCTTAACTTCAGAGGCACCTGAATGCTGTGCCAACTGACAGCAATCCCTCTGGTTAGTCACATGGAAGGCCTTAAACAAAGGGGCCCAGGATAGTGCTCCCCAACTGTGCTACATACCTGAAGTCACCTGGCTGATCTAAACCACTGACGGTGGGCTCCTGTGCCAGGTGTCCTGATTGCCCCAGCATACGTTTGGAGTGGGAGAAAACCCTCCCAGATCATGTGAACACATGACAGTGTCAGAACCACTCACTTTGAGCTCATCAGAATTAAGTCAGAATTTCTGGGTGGGGCCCAGGCATCAGCCTATTTTTTTTTTCATCAGCGTATTTAAAAAAATGTCTAAATGGGGGCTAGGGGCGTAGCTCAAGTGGTATAGAGCCTGCCTGGCAAGCACCAGGCCCTGAGTTCAAACCCCAGTAACTACCAAAAAACCAAAAAACTTCATCCTTGTGATTCTGATGTACATCCACAGGGTGAGTCACTGACAGAAAGTATGGGATAAACCACTTTCTGTGAACGGCTCTGAAGTCTGCCTTCTAAGGGATTACAGCCCCATCTTCTGGCCAAAAGGGGTATTTCACCCCACTAATAGAATTCACAGCAGTACACACTAAAGGAGCCTAGAACAGGCAGGTGGTTTCTGTAGCAAACAGCCCAGCACTAACTGCATTGCCTAGCTCAGTTTCCTTCTCAGCTCTGGAGGTAACACTTTTGTCATTAAAATAATAACATGTATGGTAACGCTCATCAGTACCAATCCCTAACTCACTTCCAGTCTGTCTTCTGTCTCAACTAAAGCCTTGCTGAAGGGCTATGTTTTTCTGCTTTCCCTACACTGGGCTTATGGCAGCAAGCAGAGAGAAGAAAAGTCACCCGTAGAATTTCAAGAGAATGCTGCAGAGTAAAATTTAAAAGAATTATGTATGATTCAGTAGGTGGTGTGGCTCAAGTGGTAAAGCCTGCCTGGCAAGTGTGAGGCCCTAAATTCAAATCCCAGTGCTGAAAAAAAAAATTAAGAATCAAAGAATGAGATTCCTATTCTATCACAGAGGCAGCATTTGTATCCAACACTGTCCTAGGAGGAGAGACCAGCAAAATAAACACTGAACAGGGAGGTAAGAACCATCCACAAGGCTGTCCACTCCACTTTTCTTGGAACTGATTCCACAAGCAAACTCTTTTCTTTTTAAGATAGGGGTTGTAGCCCAGGCTGGCCTCAAACTCACAATCTTCCTGCCTCACTCTCCAGAGCAGCTGGGATTACAGATGTGCATCACTGCACCTGGCTTTATAAAAGCCTCGACTCACAACTTGATCCATGGGCTAGGAAACCCAGAATAGCAGACACAACTAATCTGCTTGCTGCACATGAATAAACTAGCATCTCTGTTTACAAACCACTTCTTTGTTCATCAGTTTGGATTCCAATAAACTCTGGGTATTACAACAAAACTCAATTTCTGGACCTGTAAAAGCTGATGAGCCTTGGTTGCCAATGGATGGACAGTTTGATGCTCAATCAGAATGAAATGGTGAAAAGACTTCCCTCACGAAGTATCTCCTAAACCTGTTTGATCTTAAGAGCCTCTAGCTCCTGTGTTCACTCCTTAAGCCAGCAAGGCCCTTGGACCTTCCTAGCATCCTACTCACAGTTCTGCACTGAAGGACTAGCCTGGCAGGTACATAGACACATGCTCACTGCAAGTAAAACAGCTTTCTATCAACACAGATTCCACTAGGACTGCTTCAGTTACATCTTTTCCCAGAGAAAGAGGTGTGATTTGCTTTCCGCTCAATTCTTTGATCTGAGCTCACAGAGAACCTCACCCCACCCTCCTTACCCCCCACAAAGGGAACAGAGGACACCGGTGTTATAGGAAGGACAGTGATGCACAGAACTAGCATGGCCGAGTTCATCTGATAACTAGGTGACTGGCATTTTCTGGGACAGAGAACAGTGCAGACATCGTAAGCCCTCCAGACTGCTGACCAAACACCCTGTAAGGCATATCCCTCCACTGTCTCAAGGTCCTCCAGGCCCCAAGTGGGGAAGTTTCTCAGCACAGATGTGAGGCCCACATGCTGTCCAGGTTATGTGTCAGTGCCCTGGCATTTGCCCCACTGAGCTTTGTAACTTTGTAGGACACACATGATAACTCCAAATGGCCTTGATCACAAGAAAACACAGGCGCTAGTCTCCTAAGTTGACATGGACCACCAAAGAGTTCTCTCATATTTACCATCTTGGTGTGAGATTACGGAACAGCTTGAGACCAAACAAAGGCCCCTGGAGATCTCCAGCTCCAAATTCCAACTGTTGGAAAAAGAAAAGGAGAAAGTATCAATGACCTTTTTACCTCACAGCACCAACCCAAGTCTCAGGTGTGCACCTTGGATCAGAATTCCTTGTTGGCTTCAATGCTCTTGTTAGGGCTCTAAACGGAGCCCTACCTCTCAGCTTCACCCTTCTCCCTGGAGGTAGCCACTGCCCCAGGTTTACAGGAGGCCTGGGTTGCAGAAAGGAGCTCCTCCAAAGAGGACACTGCACCCGGATCTTCACCTCCCTGGCTCAGGTCACTACTCCCTGCGGCAATGCCACCATCTGCAGAGCCCCATTTGCCTGCTATGGTGAGCTGTGTGTCCCTCCTCCCCTGCAATGCTGACTCCCCTGCATTTTCATTCTGCTCAGATCTCACAGGTGATAGAAGATGGACCTCAGGAGTCTGATGTTGAAGTCCATCAGCAGTTCCACACTCTCCTGGCCCTGGAGTTGCAACCATTCTGGCTGCCTCATTTACTAGCCTGGGTGACTTTCAAGGCAACTTTTCAGTGTTAATTTGATGCAGCTCCATTTGCTCAGCAGAGCTGGCTGTTTCCTGACCATCAACTAGTCAGTGAGGGCACTGAGACAGACACTGTCTTTGGCCTGTGCGTAAGGGGTCAGCTCGTGGACTCACCGGACTCATCAGACATGAGACATTTTTCCTTTGGGATTAGTCAAAGTCTGGAAGTTTGACATTAGGTACCCTGTTACACAACCACGTGGCCACCCCTGGTCACTGTGAGGTAAGCTTTTAGAGTGCAAATGTTCAGAAGTAAGGCTTTGTATAGGCCAGACAATCCAGCTCACTGGACAGTCTTACCTCTCCCCATCCCTTCGCGGAAGTGACTCTTCGGAGCGCGAAGTTAATGGAACCCCCTCCATTACCATTCTGGGTGGAGAGACTTCCGGAGAGGATGGCCGTGTCTGTGGCTGTCAAGGGTGCCTAGGAAAAGAGATGTGCTGGTAACAGAGAGTCACGGCAATGGGAAGCGCCTTGATGGGCAGTCACCTCAGTGGCTTTGCTGCCCTCTCTATTAGAACTGCATGTGGTCATTAGAGTAACATGTTTCAGAAAAAATTCAATGGGAAAATTTCCAAACACCAGGGGGAAACAGAGGGTGAAATGCTGGGTTCTTGGTGTGCCAATTGCAGGGAATTGCAAAGTAACTCTACCATGTACTTTCCCACCACAGGATGTCTGGGTGTCTCCAGCATGCCAGCTGGAGCTTGCCACCAGGGTTCCGAAAGGGACAAAGACCTTCCTGTGGCCATATTAACTGACTCTGGTAGCTCTAAGAGGGGGGCAAGTTTCTAATGTTCACTGAGTTAACTCCATGTTGCAGGCTGATGCACTTAAGAAGAAATGAACGTGGGCTGGTAGAGTGGCTCAAATTGTAGAGCCCAGTAAGTGTGAGGCCCTGAGTTCAAATCTCAGTACTGCCAAAAAACGACACGAAACAAAAACCAAAAAAACTCCATGAAGAATACATGAATAAAATGAATAAGCTAAGGAGTTAGAGACATTCTATAGTCTTCAGTAGAATGGGCTGATCTTGCTGTATTCAAACAGTACACAGGTGGCATTTTAGGACTCCAGGGTTCAGGAGGCAAAGCTGTCACAGCCTTCCAGCACATAATGGAATATGGCTTAGAACTAAAACAGGTTTTTAGAATGATCTGTGGAGTTCTGCCTTCTTTCCCCAAATCACCATGACCTCTCAGACTCTCAGAAGTCTTGTGACTTCTCTCAGACTTTTAATGCTTTCTGACTGGCAGGACCTTGGGAGCTGAGCATCCCGGCCCTGGCAGTCCTGCTGGCTCACTCACAAATGGGCAAAGCCGTAAAAACATGGCTGTGACTGGAGTGCACTCTCTCTATTTTTTAAGTGGCTGATTGCATCCTTTATAAATAAAGATGAGGAAACACCCTGAGCAGACTTTCATTCCAGCTGCTCGGTGCTGCGCCTCATTAACTTGAGCCCCCGCTGTACTAGTGGAGGTGTTTGTGTGCTTTACCTCAATGGACTGGGATATGTGCATCTTATTAATTTCAATCTGTGGAAAGCCACTTCCAGATACATCTTCATACTCCTCATCATAGCGATCAAAAAGGTCAGTAGCATCTACTCCGACACTGATGGTTCCCTGGGGCAGAAAACAAGTAGTCAGCACAAGGTGGCACTTGTGGAATGAAAGGCAATGCAGCACTGAAGCAGTGAGCTCAGTCTACTGAACCAGGCATCTGACTTCACGGTTCTGTGCTTAGGCAGGACACTCCACTATGAGGCCCATGCAGCATGAATGTCACAGTTCAAACCAGAGTTGCAGGATGCCACAGATTTTCACAGCTAGAAAGCAGCAATTTGACCAGAAGAACCAGCCAGCACTTCTGCAGATGAATTACACACCAAAGACAAGTGTGAATGGAAGTGAGGGTGACACAATTCGATCTTCAGGGACCAAATGCAACCCCCAAGTGCATGAGACCAGCTAGAAGCTAGCCACACGGACTAAACATTCCTCTGTAAACACTCTTACATCACAAAACTACCTTAAAATGCTTTAAAACATAAAAACACCTTCAGAGACAAAGCACAGACAAAATAAACCATGGAGGTTGCTCTGCTTTCTAAAATTAATTTGAAAATTAAGTTATAAGAAACAGAAGACCATACTCTCTAAAGAAATGCTAAGGTAAAATTTGCTGACTGATAAAAATGCTCCTTACTCAGAAAATCCACGTCTGTATTCCTTCACAGTTTTAAGACTTTTCACATGGGCACGTACCATGACCCGATGCATAAAAACATGACCATACACATTTTTACTAAATTCTCCGCAAGTCATTTTAAAAAACTTTACTGAGGTTAACGTACACATAATATTAAGCTGTACCTACTTGACATGCATAATTTCAATGAGTTTTGATACATGATTACATTCTTGAAACCACCTCCAAAATCAAGACACAGAACATTTCTATCACTCCAAAAAGTAGCTTGAGAGGGTATTGTTTTCATTTTAAATGGTCAAGAAAGGTCTCTAAAAAGGGGATGTTTGAACAAAGACTTGTGACAGAAATGAGGGATGGTGTCCTGAGTATCTAGTGGGAAAGGCAGGAAACTGCTGGGGCTGGAGCGAAAAAAGGAGGGCCAAGGAATGCTACAGTTCAGATCTGGAATGCCCCCCAAAGTCCCACATGTTAAAGGCTTGAACCAGGTATGGTGGTGCACACCTGTAGTCCCAGCTACTCAGGAGACTTGTAGTCCCAGCTACTCAGAAAGCTAAGGTAGGAAGATTGAGTGAGTTGCAGGAATTTGAGGCCAGCATGGGCAACATAGCAAGACTCCCTCCCACTCCCCCCAAAAAGGCTCAGCCTCCTTCTTCACACTGTAAGAAGTGGGGCCTAGAGGAGAATTTGGGTTATTAAGTTCAAAAGGTGACTGTCGACCCTGTCTTCTTTTTCTTATCCTGGCTATGAGGTGAGCACTTTTTCTCTACCATGATGGCCTACCACAGGCCCAAGGCAACTGGGCCAACCAACCATGGACTGAAACTTCCCAAACTGTGGGCCTTTGCAAGTTGATGAAGTCATGTATTTGTTACAGTAATGGCAAGCTGGTGGACACTAGAAGCAAGGTATGTGTAAGTGGTCTCCCAGAGTGTAAAGGTGGGGTTCACTGAGATCACACCAGCATAACCCTGGTGTTTCTGCAGGCTTAGCAGTTAGCCCAGGTTTTCATTTCTTCATCAGTATTGCCAATAGCTGCCTTAAACCAAGATGCCTGAGTAGATTTGACAGATCACACCCCCCTCTGTACTTTGAGCATCTGCCATGTGCCATCCATCTAATGGTGTGTGAGATGCATGGAGACTTGAGATGCCCAGCCATGCCCCACCCCTCTTCTCCTGCCTCTTTCCAGATGAAATGCAGCAGCGTGTTCCTTTCTAGGATCTGTGCCCAGTGCTCACTGACAGGACAGCTCAGTTGGTAGTGGGAGCTATCTTGGTGGTGTATCTGGCAGGTGGCCAGTGCCTTGGCCTGGCAGTGCAGGAAGCTGTCAAGCTACTGTAGCTGCCATCACACGAAATGGCATAAAGGAAACAGAGGTTGGCCTGGTCTACAATGGGACCTATTAAGAGTGTTTTGAGTACCTTTGCCACATTGTCGTTGTTATCTGCTCAACATAGATCAGGAGTTGATACTTGCTCTGTGAAGGGCCAGAGTACATATTCTGGTGCTGTGTGCCATATGGTCTCTGTCCCAATTATTCAACTCTGTTATCATAGGAAAGCAACAGCTAACAGCAAGGGACAGGGTGTGGCTGTGCTCCAAGAGAACTTTGTTCATAACCCTGAAATCTGAACTGTAGATCTTTACATATCACTCTTTTGATGTTTTCCTGACAGTTTCTTTTTTTCTGGTGGGACCAGGGCTTGAACTCCAGGCTTTGTGCTTGCAAGCAGGCAGTCTACCACTTTGAGCCACACCTCTAGCCCTCCTGACAGTTTCTTAGCTCACAGGCCATACAGAAAGACACCAACTTGGATTTGGTATCTACAGGTTTTTGTTATATAATTCCTTCCTTCCTTCCTCCCTCCCTCCTTCTCTCCCTTCCCTTTCCCTTCTTTCTTCTCTTCCTCTCTTCTTTTCCTCCCTCTCTTCCTTCCTTCCTCCCTCCCTCCCCCACCCCCCTTTGGCGGTATTGCGGTTAGAACTCAGGACCTTGCACTTGCTAGGCAGGCACTCTACCACTTGAGCCACGCCCCCACCCCTTTCTGATTTAGTTATTTTTTCGGATAGTGTTTTGTTAACTTTTTGCTGGTGCCATTCTCAAACCTCAATCTTCTCAATCTTGGCCTCTCAAGTAGCTGGGATTATAGGCATGAGCCACCACACCTGGGCAATGCTTTCTTTTTGGAAAAACTCTGAGGTAGTGATGAGATTAAACATAGCATATGTTTAATGAAAACAATGTATTAACTTTCATTTTCTCAGAAAGCTGAGCTTATAAGTTGTATAAAATACATGTCCTTTTACCACGCAAAAGGGTAAAAGTCTCATCTGCTAGAGCAGCACCACAAAATAGACAAAAAATAACAAAAAAACCCCCAAAACAACAAAAAAAAACCAAGCTGTTGCACTCTTATCTATGGAAAATGAAGATGCAGTTGTCAAAATTTAGAAATATTTTTGTGTATTTACAGGATAATAACTAATGCTTTTGTGATGACTTTAATTTTGAATAAAAACTCCCCCCAGAAGTAAGGCAGTATAGGAACAGTTGTGTAGATGGCATATTTAAGCCTTTGCAGACTCCTTTATTATTTTTTTATATTTGTTTATTTATTTATCTTTGCAGTACTCGGATTTGAACTCAGGGCCTACAACTTGAGCCACTCCACCAGCCCTTTTTTTTGTGATAGGTTTTTTTGAGATAGGGTCTCGTGAACTGTTTACCTGGGTTGGCTTTGAACTTCGATCCTCCTGATGTCTGCTTCCTGTGTGATGTTAGTCACTGGCGCCCGGCTAAATGACATTTTCTTTTTTTCCTTTGGTGGCATTGGGGTTTGAATTCAGGGCCTCATGCTTTCTAGGCAGGTGCTCTACCACTTGAACCACCCTGCCAGTCCTTATTTTTAATTATTACTATTTTTTGACCTAGGGTTTTACTATGTTACTCAGATTGGCCTTGAGCTCCTGGGTTCAAGCAATCCTCCTGCCTCAGCCTCTTGAGTACCTGGCACTATAGGCACAAGTTATCTTTCTTGGTTGAGAGTATTTTGTAAGTTATGAATAGTATGATACACAAAGAAGAATCAACTAAATGTGTCAAAAATTTCCAACTTACTAAATATAAATGTAACTTTCATGATGACAATAAATAATGCTGTGGAAGGAAAAGAAAAAAAGCAACAAAATCAGACTTTGGAAACAAATTCTTCAGAAAAGCAGTGGTGTCAGGGCATGGAGAGACTCTAGACAAGGCCGACTTCTATGCACGCCCCTATATAGAGGCCTCTTTTTGACTGTGAAGCAGCCCAGAGACTTGCTTTAGTTCAACTGAACGGAATGTGTAGGTGCGATGGTGTTGGGTTGTGACTAGGTCACAAGAAGCCTTGCAGCTTGGCCTGGGTTTCTGGAGTACCTGTTAGCTGTGCATATCAAGGAAACCCCCAGAGACTGCTGTGTGAGGAAGCCCAAGAAGCCAAGAGGAGAGCTGTGCTGAGAGAGATGCCAGGCTATCCCACCGTGCCAGGCACCCCAGCTAAGCTATAAGACTACCCGAGCTACACCCCAGCCTCTGCTTATGCTTATAATGTTCACATAATTGATGTCATTAATTTTTTTTTTGAGACAGAATTTTGCTATGTATTCCAGGCTGGCCTCAAACTTGCAATCCTGCCTCAGCCTCCTGTTTGAGTGTTGGGATTACAGGCATGCATCATCATGCTTTTCAAATGGTAAGTATTCATATTCACTCCACACTGACCATCAACTAATTCACCAGAGAATGAAGTAGCTGTTACAAGTTTAAAATATTGTCCAGTCACCACTTTTTCAGCCACTCTTGTTTCTTTAAACAAGGTCACAATAATTGAAAACTCTAGTGAGCTGGTGACTTTAGGCTCAACAGCCTTGGTACTGACTCAAATCTACAGAAAACGACTAAATCAGAACAGTAACAGTGAGCTGAGGCAAATGTTAGGCCCAAGTGCGAACTTGTCTGATGAAACTGACTGTCGGGAAAAATGACTGATGAGGCACTTTTGAGCTGACAAGAATATTCCTCTATTAGTGAGTGGCCTGGATACCACTTCTGCTCTTCTTCCTCTTCAGGGAAATAACCTTTTGAAAATAGGCTGGTCACAGCACCAGAATAGATGGATTTCTTTCAAGACAATGTGCTTTTTTACTGGTGGGGCTGGGGTTTGAGCTCAGGGCTTTGTGCTCACAAAGCAGGCACTCTACTGCTTGAGCCACACGTCAGTCCAAGACAATATGCTTTCATATAATGAAAATCCACAAGTCTGAGAGGAATGAAAGTAAGGTATGAATTTTGGCAGAATCAAAAATACAAAGCAAAAGACAAACGGCAATCTACCACTGGACAGATCAGAGGCTACAGAATTTCCAACAAACT